CATTGCTTTCCTGCCCTTGTTAAGAAACGGAAGATGTGTGTTGACAATGAGAAGAAGTCTAAATGATGGGACTGGCCGATGCCCCAGAGCATTTGGCCAGCAGGAGGGTCACCAATGGGAGACATAGTGTTCCCTGTGGGTAAGGCAGCCGTGTAAGAAACTGCCCTTCAATCGCCAGGGGACGGTGCTTGATTTCTTGGCAGCAAGGAGAAGGGGCTTGTGTGGGTAGGAAGAGCCTGCCAGTCAACTAAATTTATGGAGCACCTGCTGTGCAGAATTTGAAAAGGAGGAGGAGACAGGCCTTGTCCTCAGGAAGCTTGTGATCAAAGAGAGAAGAAAAATCCCCACCTACTGGACACCTTTCAACATCCACAGCCACACTTGAAATGGGAGAGGACTCACTGACATTTGGGACATGGTCTGAGCCTCTTTTCGCAAAGCTGATTCTGGGATTAAAAGGACAGCATCAACCAGGAGACTGTGTGAAATGCAGAGTCTCGGCACCCCGTCCCCGGCCCCTGCAGACTCGAGAGTCAGAATCCACATATGATTCTCAGGCGCACAGCAATTTCAGAAGCACCGGCAGGGCTGTGGAGGTGCTGAGTCTCCAATGTTTTGAGAGAGCAAAAGCACCTGGTTTCGGTGAGTAAATTGAGAGAAAAGGGCATTTGTTTATCTGTGAGCTTCTAAAACACAGGCATTTGTCCTTGCCTCCTTTCCAGCCCCCTACACTTCTTAAATTCATAGCCGGAGCTCAGCGAATTCCTCTTGCAAGGGTGCTTCTTCCTCGTGTCCCTATTGAGTGAGATATTGTTGAAATTGCTGTGAATTAATTGTTATTATAGAGGCACTTAATGAATTTTTGTAACGTGTAAATGATTTTAGAGGGGTGGGCAAAGCTACCCAACTGTCTGAAACAAAGGTAAGGGCTACAATAAAAGATGTACGAGCCCTTCCTTTAAGGCACAGGGGAGAGCTTAGAGCCCTGCATCTCACCTGCAATGGTTCATTTTCAGTCTAAGTCACATTCTGTTTGACCTTCACCATTCTGGGTTGCCCATTGTCACGTTTAGGATGACAGCTATTCTGTGTTTCACATGCCCCGAAAACTATTGCATTTATTTGTTCATATGATGCAATATCCCACCAGGATTACCTGATTGGCTAATGTATCTTCTTTGCACAAACTCTATAATGCATGCCACTTTCATCAAAGTCCATCATTATTAACATTTATAGTAGGAGAGTGAGGGGCCAAGATGTTTCTCAGCCTCCACCCCAGTTCCAGACAGATAATAACATCACACAATCCACAGACCTAACACTGAGACAAATCTCTAGCAGGTACATGTGTGGGAAGACAAGTGTCATTCTCACAGGTGTGTCAAAATAGAATTAAGATGAACAGAGAAAACAGTAAACAGTGTTTACTGTGTTCCCTGCCCTGGGGGAGCTCATTCTTGTCTGTCAACACCCCTTGAGATTGCTGTTGTTTCCAATGCACAGATGAATAATTCAAGGCACACACCACCTTATGAGGGGCCCTGGCAACAAGACCAGTGATTCAGTGGGGAAATGGTAGTGATCTCTCTGGAATGGGCCTGGTAGCTTCTGCTCCATCCTGTGAGCGGTGGCTAAGGGAAGTATAGCTGGTGCCCAGGGTCAGCTTCTGAGCCAGGCAGACCTGGAGCAAAGCCTCCTTCTACACAAGGAATGATGGGTTCTGGCAGCACCTCAGTCCCCTTCTGCAAAATGGGGATAACTATACCAGCAACTTCAGAGAGTTGGAAGGATTATGAGAATTAATATATACTAAGCCCTGTATGCAGTGGTGCCAATGCGTTTTTATTATGTATTTGTTCCTTGCCTGATGTAATGGGTTCCATGATTTTAAGAAGAAAAAGTTCTGGTGCTACCAGGCAGACATATATTTTTTCTACTCCCACTTCCTGTAATTACCCTGAAAATGTAGCAGCATTTCTGTCCCATAATGTTTCTGTAATTCTGATTATCTGCTACATTTGTTAGTGACTGATGTCCAGTGGATTTGTTGGAAGTTGAACTAAGCCCTTTAAATTCTCATTTGGTTTTATCTGGGGATTGTTACATAGAATCCTGGAGCTACAGACTCAGATTCTGGACACATTTACAGGTGCAGTGTCCAAGATGATTCTCTTCTATTTATTTGATCAGAGTTACCCTTGATCTTACATCCAAACAGGATTTTAAACCATCTTAGTTTTCCTTCCAAATGGGTCTTTGTGTTTTCATAGATGCTGAGAAAGCATGAGCAACTAATAGTTCATGCAGTCACCAAAGAAGTCCTTCTTAGTTCTTTTCTATAAATTCATTCTGCATTTAATATGCCTTTAGCAGTAAAATGAGGTACCAGGGAAATAGACAGGAATTAAAGATCTCTGTCTTTATTTAGTTGGGGAAGGGGAACATAAATGTGCTAAAACAACTGGAAAATTATTAAAAGCAATTAGAGAATAAATGGGGCTAAGGGAGGGGAACAGAAATGATTCATTAGGTCTAAGAGTCTTTATTTTAAGATTTATTTATTTATGCACATGAGAACCAGGGTTCAGGCCAGAAGTGTTGGGGGGGGTGATGACAGGATTCACCAGAGACAGAGTGGGGAGCAGAGTAGGTAGATCCACTGAAATATACTGCCGAGGGAGTGGTGGGCAAGACAGGAGAGGTCTGCTGCACCATGTGGGTCACCTCCCTGGCCAGGGATCGAACTCATGCCACAGTGGTGGGCAAAAGCTTGATAGCACTGAGACTTCAATCTCTGTGCCACCAGGGAGGCCCAGATCTGAGAGTCTTAAGAGATATGTCAAAGACAAAAATTTCCAAAGAATAATAATGGGAATAGTTGCTGCTGGTGACTACAGAGCTCCATCTATAAGTGCCAGGAATGGTGTTGCACATTTGACAGAGGATTAGTGCCCTTAAGAGGCTATTCATTTTATTACTTTTATTTCACAGATGAGGAAATCAAAGCTGATGGAGATTAAGGAATTGCTCAAGATCACACAACTAAAAAGGCAGAGTTGGGAATTGGGATCTAGAGATAAAAAACAAGAGGTCTGTAGGGAAGATCACCCCAGTGGCAGAAAGGGCCAAAGATGGAAAGTGAAGCCAGCTGGGAAACAGAAGACATGTGGGGGCACAAAATGAGGGAGGAAGGGCCCACAACAATGACTTGGAATGTTAACCTGAAGATGTAGGCCCAATAGGTAACAGACCCTCTCAGGTAGAGCAGCACGAGGAGACACAATCCTGGCATAAGTGACCCTGCAACTGTGGGGAAGAAAGATTGGTGGGTAGAGGAACTGGTCTGTAGAGAGAGCCAGAAAGAGGTCCTCAGATTTGGGGTGACAATGACCCAATTCAAAAGATAGTGTGTCAAAGAAACTGATTTCTCGCTTTCAGTATTCTGATATCTGAAAGTGCAACAACTCACCCAAAGCCAGAAGATCAATATTAGATTTCTACTTCTGCTCTCAGATCTCTGAAAATAAAATGCTTTGACTGGATTTGTCTTCTGCTTGCACTGAAGATCCTTTCCATGATGTGGCAAAAGAACCAAGGGTTTCTATCAGTGCTCAGGGTCCTTGTGCTTTCACTTTAGCTTCATTATTTCTGCCAGTCTGTATGTTTTTTTTCTCTTTTAATTACATGTATTTTCTCCCTCACTAGTAAATAATAATGTTCTTATCTGTAGCCATCTGAATAAAAATAGTGGCTTTGTGAAAACAATGAATTGGACTTTATACCCAGAACAAAATGTTAGATGTGGAAGCTCTCTTGATTTCTTGGTTTCTGTTACACTATTCACATCTTGTCTGGACTCATCGAGTCTGCCTCCACTAAATCAGGGCAGTGGGCATGCACATAATAGGGGTCCATGGGGATTGTTGGCAGATGTTGTCTTGGGAAGTACCACTCATGGAAAGAGGTAGAAATCCTAAATCCTGGCAAAGATAAAGCTTCTGTGATACCACAATGTGCCTACAATACAGAAACCTTTCTTTGTTATTTATTTAGTAATCAACTGGAAAATAATTTGAAATGATATCACTTTCATTAACTGCCTCTTCCTGCCCTGGAGTAGGAGAACACATGCCACTAACTCCCTGTTCTGGGAATCTGTAGGGATTCAGCAGAGGAGGTTTGGTCAGTAGCCTTTCACTACTCGGACATAGTATAGTCTTTAGTGGAAGTTTCTTTAACAGATTTCACCACCAGACTGCTGTATAATTCTGGATATCATGACCAGAACTTAGCCATTTTGGATAAGTGTAGGTGCATATCTACTGCAAGTTTATGTGCTTCCAGAAACCATTGTGAGAGGAATTGATTCTATGTGCAAGTGAACAGTGTGTTGTCTTGAAATAAGAGGAAACACTGCAAAGCCAGAGGACTTTGCTCTCATCACCATTCAGAAAGGATCTCTCATGAAGGCAGGATGATGTTGGAGATGCTACCATCCCTTGTCTTCTGGGGAAAATGCTGTAGCATTTACTGAGCACCAATCTCATCTTGGATGAGTGTATGAATATCTTAGGCTTAAGGGATATGCTTGCTACTTACTGTGTCTTGATTCCACCTCATAGCAATATTATGCACATGACATAGGTATCATTGTGTCCAGTTTTCAAGAAAGGAAACACGCTCAGTACCTTTAAATGCCCCACCTGCTACCTGAGGAGATAACTAAGTGGTAAGGATACCTGGACCCCTATTTTACCTGTGTTCTCTCCAGGAAATCTATATAATACCATTTAGATCCTTACCTCACACCATACACCACAAGACGGTGTATCTAGTCCTCTTGATGCCACAGGTCCATGCTTTCTTGCTCTATTCCTCTTCTCAGGATGCAGAGATAAGATGACTCCTGGAACTGAGCATAGATTAGGACTGGGGAAAGTAGCTTTCTTCTCTATGATAAGTGAGACTAACCCTTCCATTATTCTTTTCATTTCTAGAAAATGAAGTCTCTACCCCAGCTTCACCCCCAGAAGGTGAGTGAAAACAGTGCCTCACATTTGGGCAGCAAACACAGAACACCCATCCCAGAATGATTTGGCCTCCACTAAGCTGTAAGATTTACTCTAACTCCTATGGAGAAGTTGGATGACAACAGTTGTGATAGATTAATAATAATGATAATAATAATAATAACACATTGTGTTAATATAATCCTCTCATGTTTATCTGGTTTGGATGCACATCACATACTTATAAAACCCTTCATTTTGTGCCAAAGTTGTTGCTATGCCCGTGTTTTACAGCTGTGAGGGCTGAGCTTCCAAAGGGGTGAAGAATTTGTACTGCCTTTTCACACATGGCTGAGAACAAACAATGCCGACATCTTTCTTGTAATAGTGGGGAGTGGGCTTCACTTCAGCCCTGCAAGATCACCTGCCTCTTCCTGACTTGCCCAGCCAAGACAGAGGCAACCAAAATTATGTGCATTTTCCCATGAAAACACCAAAGTGTCCTCTCTCATCACTCTTTCTCCTTGAACAGGATGAGAAACTGACATCCATTCAAGATTTACTCATGAGTATTTACCATGTGCACAATTCTGCCCTAAACCTTCAGAAGGATTTAGAGCTACCTACCTACCAAATACTGATTGAGAGCCAGGTGCAAACATCCTGTACCAGATGTAGTAAGAAACTCTAAAGTAGAAAACATTTTCCTGTATCTAGTTTGTTTATAACCAAGTAGAAAATAAAAGACAATCCAGAGAACAAGTAAATAAAATACAACTACTGTATTGAAACATCAGGTAGTACTATAAGAACAAGGCAGTATGTGATTTAATGCAGGTAACTTGAGTGGACTATGTGGTATGAAGGCAAGGGGTGGGAGGTCACTATTCACCCATCAACCTAAGTAAAATCAGAAATTGAAGAATGAATCAGTTTCGGGTGATCTCTTTACATGAATATCTATAAGGGTCTTATGAAGCCCTTTCCTTCTAGAGATAATTTTTTCCAGAGGGTATTCTGAAAAATCTAACTGCTCACAGGAACTCCTTTGCTCAGCTAAGAATACCAGATTCACACACTCCAAACCCTTTAATAGTGTAGAGGAGTATTGCTTTGTGTGGAAATGAGTGAAACATGCTCAGCCTCACAAGAGTTCAAAGAGGACAACCTCAAGTTTAACTTTCTTTCAACCACATCTTGAGACTATCGTAGTTGTGTGATATTCTTCTTAGGAACTTCTTCCTGTGTATGTTTCCTACTTGCCAACACTGAGTACAGAGACTCTATCTGCTGGCCATGAAAGACTTAAGTTTTCCTTTCTGTTTTTCATGTCAGTTGCTGCCCCAGGGAAACTGTAGTTTTCCTTATTCTGCCATATTCCTATTTACTCAGAATGCTGACCTAATGCTAAAACAAGTCTCCTCCCAAACTTTGCTTAAAAATGTCCTAATTAGTTAACTGAGATTCAGATCTCCACTCATCAGTCAGAAAAGAGAGAATTCATGCTTGAGATGATTCCTTTCTAATATATTCCAGGAAACAGTCATTTGTAGGTAGGTATCTAAACTGATAGGATTCTGAACAGAAAGAAAAGCAGGCTACATGGTCTCAACTGATCCAGAATATTGATATAGGCAGTGAAATATTTTCTTTGAAACCATTGTACAATTACATATTATATGCCTTTGCTCCATACCATAATATTACCTGAAGTCCAGACTATTGGAACCACTGCTTGACTCAAACTTCAGTCCCTTTTTGGCACCTAAAATGATGTGGCCACATTTTATACTCAGTCCCATTCCAGCCTGCTATAACTGGGCCCCAGTGTAGTGCAGTATATATGCTTACACAATCTGGGCTGCATGTTTCCATGTATAGATATAATTTTAAATGATCAGATTTATTAATTGCTTTTATTAAAAGCTTAATGTGATTCTACATTACAATTACAAAAGTCACAATAATAACGTAATAAATGAGTATGTACCATCATTTATGATCTGTTCTGTTGTCATTAATTTTCTCCCTTCCCAACTCCTCCATTACTTATCACACAATAAAATGCTTTCTTGAAGGCACATTTAAAAACTGTGCTTGTACTTTCCACACAGAACCAAGTAAAGAGAAGGAGGCCGGAACTGGAAAAGGCAAAGGTGAGTTGGCAGGAGGGAGAGTAAGACTGAATTCAACAAAATTGGAAGAAGAAAGATGTCAGTCGTGATTGACATGGTGGCCCATGGAACTTCTCTGCATTATCTTTCATCCCTGTGGTTGAAAACTCTTAGTTCGCCTCTTATTAGCACAATGAGAAAGGTGTTTTGACCAGTTTCCATTACACACATTTCTAAAAGGAAAACAAAGGTGATAAAAGTATCACAAGTACTTAAATTAGATGTCAGCCAACTAATTGCAGTTTTCAAGTTCTAATGTGCATGCAAAGGAAAGAGGTATCTGGTCTTATTTGAATGATACCAATTTGGAAAATTATCTGGATTACTCAGATTTTTTTCAATAAAATGGAATGTTTCTATGTTACCATGTGAACTGTTTCAGGTTTCAGTAGCTATTTTGAAGCTAACATCTCACTGTAATACTATGCATTTGTGTAGATTTATATAATGATTTATACAGTTTGACAGTGCAGCCTGCAAACATCATGCTCTTACTGAATTGGAAATTCATTGATTGGCCAGTATTAGCCAATATTCAATATTCAATATTGGCCAATATTCTTTTATTAAATCATGAAAGAATAATCTTTCTGATACTAATTCTCCCTGTGGAGAAATTCTTTGCCACTAGGATCCTATAAGCTAAGGAGCATTAGTCCTCCATAGAAGAAAGTTTTACTAGAGGTAGTTTTGACGGTTCTGCTTTTTATGTTTGTATCATCAGTTTTAAAAGTTCACTCACCACATCCAGAATATTGATATAGGCAGTGAAATATTTTCTTTGAAACCATTGTACAATTACATATAATATGCCTTTGCTCCATACCATAATATTACCTGAAGTCCAGACTATTGGAACCACTGCTTGACTCAAACTTCAGTCCCTTTTTGGCACCTAAAATGATGTGGCCACATTTTATACTCAGTCCCATTCCAGCCTGCTATAACTGGGCCCCAGTGTAGTGCAGTATATATGCTTACACAATCTGGGCTGCATGTTTCCATGTATAGATATAATTTTAAATGATCAGATTTATTAATTGCTTTTATTAAAAGCTTAATGTGATTCTACATTACAATTACAAAAGTCACAATAATAACGTAATAAATGAGTATGTACCATCATTTATGATCTGTTCTGTTGTCATTAATTTTCTCCCTTCCCAACTCCTCCATTGCTTATCACACAATAAAATGCTTTCTTGAAGGCACATTTAAAAACTGTGCTTGTACTTTCCACACAGAACCAAGTAAAGAGAAGGAGGCCGGAACTGGAAAAGGCAAAGGTGAGTTGGCGGGAGGGAGAGTAAGACTGAATTCAACAAAATTGGAAGAAGAAAGATGTCAGTCGTGATTGACATGGTGGCCCATGGAACTTCTCTGCATTATCTTTCATCCCTGTGGTTGAAAACTCTTAGTTCGCCTCTTATCAGCACAATGAGAATGGTGTTTTGACCAGTTTCCATTACACACATTTCTAAAAGGAAAACAAAGGTGATAAAAGTATCACAAGTACTTAAATTAGATGTCAGCCAACTAATTGCAGTTTTCAAGTTCTAATGTGCATGCAAAGGAAAGAGGTATCTGGTCTTATTTGAATGATACCAATTTGGAAAATTATCTGGATTACTCAGATTTTTTTCAATAAAATGGAATGTTTCTGTTACCATGTGAACTGTTTCAGGTTTCAGTAGCTATTTTGAAGCTAACATCTCACTGTAATACTATGCATTTGTGTAGATTTATATAATGATTTATACAGTTTGACAGTGCAGCCTGCAAACATCATGCTCTTACTGAATTGGAAATTCATTGATTGGCCAGTATTAGCCAATATTCAATATTCAATATTGGCCAATATTCTTTTATTAAATCATGAAAGAATAATCTTTCTGATACTAATTCTCCCTGTGGAGAAATTCTTTGCCACTAGGATCCTATAAGCTAAGGAGCATTAGTCCTCCATAGAAGAAAGTTTTACTAGAGGTAGTTTTGACGGTTCTGCTTTTTATGTTTGTATCATCAGTTTTAAAAGTTCATATTTTATTTGTGTAATCAATAACATAGTTTAAATTTTGGAATAACCAATTATTTTCTAACTAGGTAGGATATTTCTCTTTTTTTTTCTGGATGCCACTCAAAAGCATGTTAAGTATCACTCTGTTTTTACTGCATCATATTTTCTTAATTCCTATGATATTTCTCTCTCCTATGCACTACTAAAACATTTTTTCTTTCTTTCAGTATTCTGGACCACATTTCTTCAGCAAACTCGAACTTAACACTCTCCTAAATGAACGCACAATGCTAATACATTCACTTTGTCCTTGACCTTCAGTGGCTCCCACGGATAGTAACATGAATACTAATCCTAACCACGTGGCCATAGTTTGAAGGTTATTTGCTTATGGAATGCACAGTGCAAACTCCTAGAACTCCTTCCATGAGTTGGGTTCAAGGATGTTTGGACATCCTGGCTGAAGTCACTGCAACATTATTCTCTACAAGGCTGATGGCATCCACCTCTGTTTCCAAATTTGGAAAGGTGCTTGGACCAGGCTGGAAGGCTCAACAGAGCAGGTGATATAATCCCAGAGGGCAAGCTGTCAAAGTTTAAACAAAGCCTGTGCCTGACCATTAATCCACAAATTCAAGTCAACTAACCAACCAATCAGTGGGCAAATCAACAAAAAAACCTTTTCATAAAGGAGAGCCAGTAAAACAGTTAAACTAGAGGACTAGGGCATTCTGAAATTAGTAGCATTTTTTTCCCCTGACATTTGCAGAAGATAAGCATGGCCACAGCCACATGCTGTCATATGTCCATGTACATAAATTGCCCTGCTATATTCATTCTACCTAACTATAAGTAAATCACTTCAGGATAGAAAATGGCATCTCTAAATCAAGAAGTCAGGTGAATGGAAGTTATTTATAAGTATATAATCCTCTGCAACTATACCCTCTTTTGTTAGGGACTGATTTCAAGAAAATACATAGGCAAAATTTAGACATAATAACCATTACCATATGTTTATCCTTGACTGAGAAAAGAAAAAAAAAAACATTGTATAGACTTACAGAAGATTGACAGGGGCAATACACCTTTCTCTAGCATCAATGGCAATATTCTACTTTATTCCTCCCACCCAACTCTCAGTCCATCTAATAGCTTTTCAACCATTCAACTCAAGTTTAAGTCTTCTGTGCAGCTTTCTCCTGACAATCTAGATCACATCACCCCTTCCTCCTCTTGGCTTCTCCTGGATCCATTGCCTCTCTCCTTCAATCTCTCTTTTTCCTATCTGATCACATATTAACTGTTCACTCCTTTCCCTCACAGGTTGTGAGCTATCCAATGGTCAGGCACCTTGTCTTAACACCTCTCTCATCCCCTCATCTCATTCTTTCCAGTGTTTGGTAGACAACGGCACGTCATGGTCTGATGAAGACTTGTAGAAGGCATGAACAATTGAATTTCCACTGGTTTCGCTGCTGATTGTATAGTCAATGGTAACCTCTATATCTTTGTTTCCATTTAACACATTTCCTGGACAGGAGGGTGAATATCCCAGCCTATTCAATGAAGTTCAGAAGGAGGTGTGGAGTTACACAGCATGCTCATCCTTGGAAGAACAGACCATTTTTACTGAGATACCAACTCATTTAAATCTTTCAAAAATTATCATGCCTGGATGTTAGCGTATTTTCAGCACTTCAATTAGTCCTTCCACTTACTTGGAAGTATAGTCAATTAATAGTTATAAGACTGTTGCTGTTAAGAACATTCTTTATAGCAATGCAGACATACTGCTGTTCCCAGACCAGCTGACTTGCTCAGCAATAGCTTTGAAATGCTCTGGAGATCTTTTTGGATCCACAGAATGTTGCTTGGTTCCAATATCAAGTTCATAAGTAGTGTTAATCTTACCAATTTTCCACACTTATTATGCGTCTCTCTGGGAAATAACTGATTTCCCAGGAAGGATTTTTACTATTTCTTTGTTTGATTATTTGTTTATTTACCTCTGGACTTGTCCTTCCAACTATCCTTTAGCTGGAGCCAATGTTAGAAGTCTTAGTGGGAAGAGCAACCGTCAGCAGAAGATGGTGGATTTCAGTTTTGGAAGCAGACAAGGGTCAATAGGGCATGTGTAGAGAGTAATGTGGGTGATCAAATGGAGCAGACCTTTTTTGTTAGACAAACATGGTATATGTGAACACAAAATAGTAAGACTGGTGTCTTCTGGGCGTAAACGACTGGCCCTATGGGAAGTTCTCATTGTGGATGGTTCCAAATAGGCCAGCAGCATTAGAATCAGACTGTTTCAAATAGCGATACTCATTTCAGTGCCTGGGTTCTGAGATATTTATTTAATTTTTACTTTTGCATCTTATTAGTTTATGACCTATATGTTTTTTTTTTTTAAAGGATTTTTTTTAATAGAGGCATGTTTATTTATTTATTTGTTTGTTTTGTTTATACAAGCACTGGGTACAGTCAGAAGCGCGGGAGGGTGAGAGAATTCACCAGGGCCAGAGCGGGGAGCAGAGCAGGCAGAAGGACCGAAGTACACTGCTGAGGGGAGCAGCGGGCGGCAGGAGAGGTCTGCGCGCCATGTGGGACCCTCCTCCCGTGGTCGGGGAGCAGCCGGGGATCGATCTGGCGCCGTAGAGGCCGTGAGGGCAGCTTCGCAACCCAGTGCTCAACCGCTGCGCCACGGGGGAGGCCCCTTATATGTTTTTTTAATCTCTAAGTCCAATAGTGCATCTTTTTTCCTCTAGAAAAATAACTGCTTCTGATAATCATTGCAATGGTAGTAAAGACTTATTTTCTTTTTGCAGGTATTAACATTAACATTGCCACATAAACTATAGTGAATGAACTGTGTGTGTTTTAAAGATCTCATATAACTTGAGATGAAGAATCTTCCTTTTGGCATGAATGTGGTTGGCAGATGAGGAAGTGAATCAGCAGAAGTTCCAGCGAACTTTCTCCTAAATGATACTTTTTTTAAAATTTAAAAATATGATCTTTTTTTTCTTCATTTAGGCCCCTTTTCATCTGCATTAACATGATCCTGGTGCTTTTTATTCACATGCTGAAATATTTTTGTGCAATTTTGGCTATAAGTGTCCATCAAAAATTTACTAAAATGTCTCTGTGCTTTACCTTTGTATTCTAATCGCCTTATCTCCCTTGCAGTGAACTTTGTTAAAAACTAACATCACCATACTTTGCAAAACACAACCTTTTCAGGATACAACATTGATTTAATAGATTTGGGGGAGAAAGAACTCATTAATATATTTATTTATTAAAAGATGAATCCTGATTTCAGAAGTATCTAACTCTGAAAGCTGTCTTCTCATGAAGAAATATAAGTTAATCAATACCTCAAAATATGATGACCTTATTTTCACTATACTTATTTCATCCATATGTGGTGGTGGTGGTTGCTTCGTTATTTTGATCACCTATGCCAATATTTGCTACAACTGATTACCTTGCTTGAGGGAGTCATAAATTTGTCTAAATCAAACAAAGTATCACATCAGTATTTAACTGAGGTTTGTTTACAATCACATATATGTTAGTTTTCTGTGCTTTTTGGTCTTCTAAAGTCTCGCAACTGTCCCAAGTTTGTATTACTTAAAATATCAATTTAAGAAGTCAATTTAAATCAAACATAGGTAAAGTTATTTTATGCTCAAGAGTTTGGAGAATTATTAGTATATATTCTACTATTACTTCCTCACATTCCAGATTCACATGTAGTCCTGAGAGTCACAGTCTTGTAATATGAGGCCAGATTCTTGCTCTACTTTCTAGAGAAAGTAGAGTACTTTTTCTCTGGGACCTTCAATTGTTTACAGAATCAAATGTTCTTTCCCATGACTGTGGTCAATTGCCCTTCTTTGAATTAAGGGAGATAGCTCTGTGGCTCTTGGTCTCCATGGGTACCACATTCTAAAGAGCCAAAACTAGGGGTGTGTGTGTGTGTATGTGTGTGTGTTGCTGTTGTTGTTGTTGTTGTTGATATAGTCACTGTTAAGTAAAAAAAAAAAAAGAAAAAGAAGAAAAGAAAATATGACATATGTCATGGTTTTTGTTTTGTTGAAAATGTTCTTGTATGACCCCATGCCTTTCTATATGTATTATTGATTTGGACAAACCCCAAACTTGAATTTTCAATTTCCCTTTGAACATATAAACTGATTTCCCCTGGTAAATAAGAACAATTGAACATTTCATTCTTACCCATTTCAACTAAGTTAACTAGCCAACTTTCTAAGAATTTCCAGTCAGGATCCCACTATCTCAACTACATTTCCAATCTAAAGGGATACCAGACACACCTTTTTTTAAAAGAAGGGAAACAGTTTACAATTGTCAACTATATTTTCTAGCACTTCAGTAAATTTGAAAATTGATGTACCGTGAAACAAATACTGCCAATTGAGCAGGAATTGCTATTTGGAAGTAATGTTGGATCATCTAGAGGATGGACTCTGAAGCACCTCTTAAATATTTGATACCTTAATAGTGTAAAATAATTGTGCATGTCTCCCCCAAGCAGCTTTAGTATTTAATACACATTGATTCTAGTCACCCAGCAAAGTTTTGCTTAAGAAATGGATTTTTTTTATTTTAATTTCATGAAAGCATGTCAATACTGTTTTTTTAAAAAATCATCTTCCATTCTAAACAATTAACTCAAGGATTTTGTCACACATTGTGCACTTAGCAGGCAACCAACCACAAAACCTACATAAAGGGAAGTATTTATTTGTCACAAAATGGTTCTAGTTTCTCATTTTACATAGTAAATTTCCTTCCTAGGATTTGGTTGAGTTTTAAAACTTCATTTAAAAATTTTTTTACAGGACTTAAATCAAGGTTCTTTACATATCTCAGGAAATAAAAGCCTTCAAATAGGATACAAGAATAAAATGCTAAATATTTATTTAAATGTATGAGAAAATATAGAAAAATTGCAAGGTTATTTTTGGTTATGTCAAATTTTAAGTATTCCACAATCTTTTGAAATATAGAATTCTCCTGATAGCTCAGAAATATCTATACTTCAGCAGAAGTACAGGTTTGTGGAATGTTAATGGAGAAAAGGATTCAAAAGTGAACTGAATTTGGGAAATTCTAACTGCTCTATCATTAATAGATGATGCCCCCAGTGCCAGCCTCTGTCAGCAAATACTTCAGTAAATGCCAATACACAATCCAATAAAATACAAGCATTTACTTATTTTTTTTGGGGGGGGTCTCTTTTCAATTGTTTGTGGTTCTTTTTCAATTAAAAATACTTTTTATTGATGTTACACTGCATTATATTATTATATGTTTTAGGTGTGCACCATTAGAAATCAACATCTATATGTATTATATTAAGTCCACCACTAAGAGTCAAACCTACCTTCACCACACAATTAACCCACACAATTTTCCCAATTAACCCATTCCTTCCTTCCTTCCCTTCTGGTAACTACTAATTTGGTCTTGTAGTCTAAAAGTTTATTTTTGTTTTATTTAGTTCATTTGTTTGTTTTGTTTCTTTATGTATCACATATTATTGAAATCCTACAGTTTGTCTTTCTCCATCTGACTTATTTCACTGAGCCTAATACCTTCCAGATGCATGGATGGTGTAAATGACAGGATTTCATCTTTTTCATTACCTAATAGTATTCCACTACATAGATAGATACATTTTCTTTATCCAATGATCTGCACTTAGTTTGTTTCTGGCATTTAACTTTCTTTAGCCAGTCATTTCCCAAGCTTCCTTGATCAAAGAATGCTTCCTCTGAAGAACCCCAAATTCCAGTTTCTAGTGAATTACCTATTGGGTTCTGAAGACATAATATTAAGGTTCTCTATATTATATTCATTATTTTGATAAAAAGTATGAAAACATATCCTTTTTTGATGATTTAAAAAAAAATTTCAGGTGAGCACATGATACTACAATGACAGAAAAATATGCTAGTTTACCTCTTCTCATCAGCATTTTTAAAGCACTTTTTATTTAACAGCCATTTGCTGTTTTTCGTTCAGTTATATTTTATATAGTCAGGTGTTTGCATTTTGAAATCCACACTTATTCTAGTATTTAAGTATCAACACTATTATTATTTCCACTGACACTAGTCTTTCTGCTTTAGGAGGGGCAAAGGTTCCAATCATTCAAATGGCTATTTAAGTATCTTAACTGTAAAGACACTTTGAAATTCATACATTTTAGAAAATGGGACTATTTAGTGCCTCTGAACATAAATACAAGACATATTTTGAACTTTATAAATGTGCATGGGTGAATATTTTTAAAAATTACAACATACTGGCCATTATCATTTCTTAGGGAAATGCTTATGCTTATAACATTCCTAAAATAATTATTGGTGGAATTTAGTAAATAAGAAAAATTGATTTATATTACTTATGTAAACTGTTTCCTAATAATGAGATTTTCTTGGGGGTATGGGGAGGCAGAGCAGAGTTCTCAAACAGTACAAAAAAATATATGCTTTTACGTGTGTTCAGGTGAATGCAGTATATGAATAATGTCTGTTTTGGCTTTTGTTACAAAATAAGAACGTGAAAACCACTTCTGTTGTTGACTTATTTAACAATAAGTTGTTGACTTAATCAAGATCTGATATATTATGGGGTGGGGGGGAATAGTCATTTCTTTCCTAATCTACAATTACACAAAACACTTGCACTAAGTTCTGCTTTTCAAACTACACTTTCATTTGGATTTCTCTACTCACCCTTTGATTTATTTTTTTCAAGTTTAATCTTTCAGCTACCAAGTCTTCTAAGTCTTACCCATCCATTGAAAGTGTTTCCTGTGATTTCTTCTCTTCCTTTTCAGATTTCTCTTTTCTCAGGCTGCTCGGGATGAGGTACTTTTCTCCTTGACTTTTTACTCCTATTTCTTGTTTCAGATGAAGAGGAAGCCTCCCCACCTAACGCTGTGCCTCCAGGTTAGGATGATTCCAATCTCTCCCACATTGTAATTTATTTGTGATTGACAGTAAAGGAAAAGGTAGAGTCCCTTGTTGAGACAGTGCACAGGGCAGGGCACTAGGTTCTGCCAGTGCCAGGACCAAGAGGGAGAATATTGACTTTCAGGGCAATTTTTTGTTTCACTTGAAAGTCTTTTTGAAAGAGGCTTTCCTTTTGAAGTCAGCAAAATTAGTAAATCTTGGTATAAAGATTATGGGTAAAAATGTTTGTCTTCCATTTCCTGTTACATACTTTTCCCTGTCCTTTAGATATTTGGATTTTGGGTTTTACTATTGTGTTTTAAATAAGATATACTTTCTAGAAGAGCTCCTGATTTTTCTACCTGAAGCAACCTTTAGTTTATTTCTCCCCATCACCAGAAAAACAGGGCTTGGGGTACCAAGAAGGTTGAGGTCAGCATTCCATGTTCACCCCCTTCCAAATCACACTTTCCTTTCAGGTGTGGGTAGTCCGGCCCTGGAAAGAAAAGATTCAGGTGAGCACTGCCTGGAGCAAGGCGTCCTGATCCTATCCTCATATAATCACTAATGATGTAATTTTTCAAAGCTGTATTGATTCTAATCTTTGTTTTATTCCTTTTGTAGCTTTTATAGACATTTTCATTACATTTCCTCTTACAAGAAAACTAATGTATTGAGAAACCATTAATTTTGCATGCTACACACACATATACAAACACAAATTCAGAAACTAACTACCTGTCACAGATTTGTCTCTTTTATTGTAACTGTTATTTTTAGCAGCAAGTACACAAGAGATTGAGATCTTGTAAAGCTCCATTTGGGGAGGGGAGTGCTGAAATTAGATAACAGTTCCCATTTTTATAGAACTTTACATATAGTTGATAAAACACCTACAAATACACTGTCAGCTGTTGCTACAATTCTATAAGGTTACTTATTCATTCATTCATTCATGTATTACATCATTTATTCATTCAACAATCTTGTGTTAAGAACCTACCAGGATCCTACTATGGGCTTCTTATAGCTCAAGCACTTTTGTAGCTATTTGCAGGTGTAGAAATAAACAAAATAATTAAATTTTCTGCTGTCGTGTTCTAAATGCCAATGACCACTGTTGTTACTATTACTGACACAGTCACACACTACATAAAATTTTAACCTCAACTTGAAAAAATTGTGTGATCGTGTGACTACATTATATAACATCATTGTGAAAATGCTCGTCTCCTAAGGATGGAAATACAAAGTATGACTGATAAATGAGGACTAAAATAACTAAATGTTCATTTTTCTTCTTTTTAAGAAACATTAAGAAGTAGAGAGTTGGCAACCTGTGCATTTTTCCCCTCAATTATTAAGTGACTGAAACTGGACTTTACATTTCAGCTCTTGGAGACAGAGAGAATATCCACTGTCTTCTCCTTACCCTCCTCATTGGAGTTGACTGATTCATACAAGACAAGCACAGACTAGAAAATGCAATATAGAATTCACCTCCAACTTATCTTTCCTCTAGGAGCTTATTTTTCTTTCTATTTTCTGTTTCCCTCCCTTCCAGGATGTTCCTATTTTGTTCAAATATGTACCTTCAGGTTATGATCTGTTAATGGTCAAATTATGGCCACTTTTATATAGTCCTAATGGAAATGTCTAATCACATAACAGCAAGAGATCTAGAAAGACCAGGCCAGGCTTGGCTGTCTGACCCTTCATAGGTGGATCTGCAAACTGATGCATCCAATTCTGTTGTCTTAGAGTCAGTGACCTGGAAACATGGAGAGTTATGCTTTATTGTGCTTCCCACCTTGCTTTATCTGCTAGGCAGGCACAGGCAGGATGGAGGAAACAAAGGCATTGTGGCTGCTAACAAAGAGTAACCACCTACCTAAAAAAGTTTTGTTATTTTTAGGAATTAAAAAAATGCTCCTTTATCCCATCATGGAAAAGACATCCCTGTAAGACTGGGAATCTGTGACTCTGTACTGATGATTATGGGGGAAATGATGCAAAGAATGATGTTACATTTATCCAAACTAATTAGACAAAGAAAATTTCAGCATTATGAGAATCACAAATCCAGGTAAGTCTGTCTAAGAAGAAGAGGGCCCTGAAATGACCATTGATCTCCTTTCTGCTCATTAGAATCATCTGTTGGTGAATCACCGGCTGGGGAGGGACAAGACAAGCAGAATGTCAACCAAGGACCCACCCTGTTTGTGGAAAGACCTCAATCAGGAACAGTAAAAGTTGGTGAGTGTCTAGCATGAAAACCTATGGTAAAAAATGGCAGTGAAAGTCACATAAGATCAACCATTTCACAGAGAACAATCAGTGGCTATTAGTATACTCCATGTTGTGCATGTACTACCTCTCTATAACTCCAGAACATCATCAACCCAAATATAAACCCTTTGTACCCCATTAAGCAGCTAGACCACATTCTCCTCTCTCCAACCGTCTGAAAGCACTAATCTGCTTTATTTCTATGCCTTGGCTTATTTTGAACATTTCATATAAATGGAATCTCATATGACCTTTTATGTCTGACTTCTTTCATTTAGCATAATGTTTTCAGGGCCCTTCCAGGTTATGGCATGACTTCTAAAGGCTGAATAATATTCCATCATATGGATACACAAAATCCTTCTTTCTTATAACTTACAAAGGTGACATTTCAATGACCTTCAGCATATAGTAGTTGAGTGCCTAGACTTTGGAGCCAGGTTGGGCTCAAATTATTATCCTTATCTATAAAGTGGGGATAGTAATAATAATAACAGTAAGATATTTACCTGTGAAGGACTTTGTACAGTGTTTAGCATATCTTTTTTTTTTTTTTATAGAGTCATGTTTTATTTATTTATTTGTTCGTTTGTTTTGTTTGTACATGCACTGGGTACAGTCAGAAGCGCGGGAGGGTGAGAGAATTCACCAGAGCCAGAGCGGGGAGCAGAGCAGGCAGAAGGACCAAAGTACACTGCTGAGGGGAGCAGCGGGCGGCAGGAAAGGTCTGCACGCCATGTGGGACCCTCCTCCGGTGGCCGGGGAGCAGCCAGGAATCGAACCGGCGCCGCAGAGGCAGCGGGCAGCCTCGCAACCCAGCGCTCAACCGCTGCGCCACCGGGGAGGCCCCTGTTTAGCATATCTTAAATTTCAAGCTGGTGTTTGTTGTCATTATGACACATTCATTAAATGATTACAAACCACACACAGTAAATTACAAGCAGTGTTTTTAGAGAACTCTGAACAGATGATTCAACTTTGGAGATATTCATTTAAAAAACATCAGTTACATACCTCCTGTTTTAGGCATTGTGCTGAATACTGACTATGACATCTGAGCACTTAAAACTTAGAATCTTAATTGGAGGAGGAGACAATAAGAAATTAAACAAAAAAAAACAGTTTATCCTTTCTGCCATGAAGAAAATGGTGAGCTAGAGAAGGATCAGAGTGCCCAGCAATTTTGACCAGAACTAGTTTGTGACACATGCCAATATCACCCAAATGAGCACTTAGCTGGCTATATTGTAAAATTTCTGCTGTCAGGTCTAGAATGTGGAAGCACATTGCAAGGAAACAGAAGGGTTTCTTTCCTTTGTGTTTTTGGAAGACAACACAATGCTGGGCTGACTGTTGGTCTAGACTTTTGAGGTCCTAAGGGTCCAACCAGTCCATACAAACATTAACCAGATGTTCTTCAAAAAGATCAGTTTCATTTACTCAGTTTCCTGTAATTCTTCCTACTATGGTACCTAATAGAAAAGGATTGGGAAAAGTCCGTACATGTAGACACACACACACACATACACAAACACTTTTCCTAATAAAAATGAGTTCCACTGATTTCCCCACTGCTCTTTTTCTCTTCCATAAACTTCAAAAGAAGAACAAGTTGGAATATCCTAAGGATTTCTAGGGTGCTCATGAAAAACAACTTAGACCTCCCTGGTGGCACTGGGGTTAAAGTCTCAGCACTATCAAGCTTTCGCCAGCCACTGCAGCATGAGTTCCATCCTCCTGCCAGGGAGCTACCCACATGGCACAGCAGACCTCTCCTGTGTCACCCACTGCTCCCCTCAGCAGTGTATTTCAGTAGATCTTCCTGTTGTGCTCCCCACTCTGTCTCTGGTGAATCTTCTCACCCCTCACCTCTGGCCTACACCTCAGTTCTTGTATCCATAAATAAATAAAAATAAATCTTTTTTTAAAAAGACTATTTCACTGCATGATTCTGGAGGCACCACTACCGGAGTCTATACCATGCCACCCTGTGCAAACTCTTCCCTCAGAGAAGGAAAAAATGGCAATTTTTAAACCACAGTCTCAATCCCTTGTGTTTTTCCTAGGTGAAAACATCACGTTTATAGCCAAAGTCCAGGCTGAAGACCTGCTTAGAAAGCCCACCATCAAATGGTTCAAAGGGAAGTGGATGGACCTGGCCAGCAAAGCTGGGAAACACCTCCAGCTGAAAGAAAGCTTTGAAAGGCATTCTCGGGTATGGTCTGTCTTTCTACATGGGTCAAGCTTATTTTCAGCTCAACTTTGAGAAATTTGAGTCCCAGAAAATTCTCTGCAGTTCCATTTCATAGTGTCTACACTTTGGTGTGCCTGTGCACCCTGTTATTTAGAGAACATCATTTTGGAATCCCTAGATACAGACACATCTTTGCGACAGTGCTGAAGAGTTTGGAAAATAATTGTATTGTGATGGCCTCTTTCCCCTGCCATGGTAGTGCTAACATGTGTACCAAAATGCATTTCACTGCAGGTGTACACATTCGAGATGCAGATCATCAAGGCCAAAGAGAACTATGCCGGAAACTACAGGTGTGAGGTCGGCTACAAGGATAAGTCTGACAGCTGCTCATTTGATCTTGAAGTACACGGTAAGACAGGCTTCTTGTTTGGATAATGCGATTTTTTTTATGGGGTATGAGAAGATGGTGAAGAAGATGTCATTTAATACTATTGGATATTTGAAAATTGTTATGAGACAATTTAAAAATAGAACATGGGGGGTTCTGTTGCTAAGTGTCTGTCATCTATGCTGTCTGTATTCCTTCAGTTTCTCAGATAAAGGCTGACATCATTTTGCTTCAATCTAATATATCTGTTCCACTGGCTCCAAGTAGTCCCACTCAGGTTTGGGGATGTGGCAATATGGTATCAGGATACTCAAGGATACCCCAGTGGAAAGAAGAAATTTTCCTATAAGGACTAATGTCAAATATGGACGTTCTTGATCCATATGTTCTGTATACCACCCAGAGTAAATTTAATTGAAATAAATGTAGAGGTGGACATATGTGTGTGCGTGCAGTACACATGTGTGTGTACACACATATAAGTACACAAAAGGAAAGTTGACTTGGTGGCAAAAGTCATGAACTTATGATGAACCCAAAGTGTGATACAGCACATTCACTGCAGTGAGCCCAAGAGGGCCTCTATCCTTTAGAATTCATGATTTTGTATTCTTTGGGTAGATACCTAGGAGTTGAATTGCTGGATTATGTGGTAGATCTATTTTTAATATGTTGGGGAAGACTCCATACTGTTTTCCATAGGGGCTGGACCAGTCTACATTGTGAGTATAATTTTATTTTCTTTTTTTTAAATAAATTTTATTTTTATATTCCCCATACAATTGCAACCCCCTTATTTTGACCCCAAGCCCTCCCCTCCCCGCACCCCACCCCCCATAGAGTGTCTCTGGTTCATAGTTTTTTGTTGATTTTGATTTTCACTTTCTTATAGTTATTCATTTTCCTGGTCCCTTATTTAAGTTTTCTAGATTCCTGCTATGAGTGAGACCATCCGGTATTTTTCTTTTTCTTTCTGGCTTATTTCGCTGAGTGTGATCCCTTAAACCAGACCATTGCAAGGGTCATGAATCCAGGTGTAGGAAGCAGTGCTACTCTCTGCAACATGCCACTTGCTCCACATGTGGAGTAACACCTTTGGCCATGGGCACCATACCTTAACCTGGGTCCCTTCTGGAGCAGGGTAAATGAGGAAGAGGAAGAATCCCAAAACCATGTCTTATTTAGTTTGAATGTGTAGGTAACAGACGTCAGGTATATGTGACTTGTTATAAATAGGAAAGGCCTGTCACACAGAAAGAAAAAGTGATTTCCCATGTATTTGACAAGTGAGATGAGAGCCAAGAGATGGAAATTACGAGGAGGTGAGTTTTGTCTTCAGCTACCATGAGCTCTGTCATGGAAATGAGTGGACAGCCTGGGAAGGTTGTGAGATTTCATTCTGCGAGGTTAAATGATCATGGATCAAGGTGCTGGTGAGATTTCTTTACTAAGCGTGAATTTAGTTCTCAGCAGTACTTCCTCGACTTGGTCAACATCTCTGAGAATCATCTGAAGGTCTTTTTAAGAATATTGATTTCTGGGTGCCCATCCCTGATCTGGCCCCCAAAAGGGAAATCAAGAAGCTTTTTTTCTTTTTTTTTTTTTAAGTTCTTCAGGTGGTTCCATGGTAGGCAGGTTAATGACACTCAGGTACATCCGGAAGTCCCTTGAATGATTGAGTGTAAGGGAGGTTGAGGGACGGGGCCTCAGTGGCTCAGCCATCAGGAGAACTATAAAACTGCCTTATTTGTAGATATTTATTTCATTGTTTTCTTTCCTTTTACAGAATCTACTGGGACTACTCCAAACATTGATATCAGATCTGCTTTCAAGAGAAGGTAACTTCAAAAGGGGTCTGGGTAACTTTTTTATGACATGGAAGTACAGGATTTTGAAAACAAGCTTTCCCTTCTGTCTCATTCCATATTCCATAAGAAAATGACTCTTTTCACTGTGTCACACTTGCCATATGTTCAAAATTTAATGTTCTAGGAAAGCCATGGGTTTGATGTCTAATAAAGTATATGCTGATGATTGTTTAGAATAGTCCGGTGATAGTGAAGCTCCTAGTTTTTGTGGGTTTCACAGTTGCCTTATAAAGACACACTTGCAACCTACTGAGTAGTCACTTCTTCCTTAATTGCGTTATTTCCCACCTAGTAGCCAAAAAACAGATATGTAAAGGCATGTGCCTCCCATAGCATCAGTCATGTAATGTCAGAAATCTTACATTGATTTTCATCTTGAAACCATGTGCCCAGAAAGTCATAACTAAGTAGCTACTTACTAAAGTTAGCACTGTTTAAATATTGAAAAACACTTTAAAAACTCCTAGTAAAGGATTTTTTCAATAACAAATTTTTGAAAAATATATTAAAAGATATTGATATTAATAAGAGAATGAAAGGTTCATAATTATTTCCCTTTAAAACAGAAAGGACTGTACCTTTTTAAACATTCTGCACTAGCTCTATTTTATATTACGTTGTATCTCATCATCTGATTCTTCCATTGATGGACACAAAGAGGTTATCTTTGACTATAAGCTTTGTATTTACATATTTGACATTGGTACACTTCATCCTTCAAGCCAATCTCTGTCTTACCTGAAGAACAGAGATCAGCAAAAGTCCTTTGCTTTTTACACAGGTAGGTTTCTGAAACCCCCACTTGCAAAAACAAAGTACTTTGTGTTGCTCGGCTTAAATGCATTTGTGTTACTCTGTTTTAACACAAATCCAAGCGGTTATATATATATATGCAATCAACAAAAACGTGTCTTCTGAAATTACAGAGTAACACAAGCTCCTGGTGTTTCCTTTTCCACAAGTGCATATTCCCAAAACATAAAACATCACTTGTGTGAAAAGGAATAGTTTGTGTTGATTAGTGCCATGACTGTGTGCCAGTATAAAATTGCATATACATTACAAGTAGAGTGTTTGGGGAAAACTGTTGTGTCTGTGTCTCAGCATTAAACCGAGATCTGCTTCTCTTTTGTTAATGACAGTGGAGAAGGTCAAGAGGATGCAGGAGAACTTGACTTTAGTGGTCTCCTGAAACGTAGGTGAGAACCAAGTGGTGGATGAGGCGTGGTGGCCTGGAACTCCTTTAGATACCCACTCAGAGTAGTCAAGTTTTAAGTGGATGCTTTTCAAAGAATTTCTAATTTCTGAAAATGTGTTTGCATCTAGAACATAACCGAGTCACCTAAGAAAGAGACAGAAAAGCAACTGCATACTAATCACTTAAGATTTTAGCTGATGCTTTTAAATTCTTTTAACAAGTTTAGTGAGTCTTCACATATTTTTTTTTTTAGTTGGAGATGAGGAAATTTGAAACTGAGACAGAAGACTTAAATACTTAGAAATCTCTCATTTTTCTTGCTATTTCTCTCATTTCAATCATGATTCTCCATCATGATTGAATAACTAGTCTCCATTGTCCTGCCTTTGATATTTGACCAAAAAAAAAATCATTTTCACAGTTTTGGTATAAATCACTGCAGGTGGAGATATATGTATATTTGTATGTATGTTTGTATATATTTATATATATGCCATATAACATATATATAATGTGTGTTAAATCTCCTTTAATATAGTATTTGTGATTTGCTGCATTTCATCAAATCTATGACACTTTTGAGCAAGGAAAATATTGCTCCAAATAGTCTACTATGACACGTTGTGGATTCTAGGACACATCCTTATTTTAGAGAGAAAATGCCAAAAAATGCCAAAATGCCAAAAAATGCCAAAAAATGTAGTAGTAAGATGGAAATAAAACTCACACATTCTTAACATTTTTCTCTTGTAATAAAATTTACAGATCTCATTGTGTAATTAGTACATCATCATTTTATAAGATTTCTGTCCATGTCCTTGCTATACATAATCATTAATATATTTATGTACTATATATAAAATCATATATAACTTAACATTCACTCTAGTGCAGAAGCAACAAAAAATGGATTTTTGATGGGGTTATGTTTACCTAGCAAATGTGTGAAAAAACAGAATAAAACAATTGAAAATTAAAAGTCTACAACATTGATATCAATTTTAATTTAATTTTTTAGGTTCACTTTTTATTATGTTAGTGCTAATTACATGACTTTAGTTCAATCATATGTTCTCTCTGAGACTTGGTTCCACATCTTTAAAAGTGGATAATAAAATCTACTTATTATGAATTTATTATTATTAAAAATAATTATTGTGAGCATTAAATGAAATGTTAAAAGCCTGTAACTATGCAAGCATCTCTCTTTTTCTCCTACTGATAAACCTGTCCTTTTAAAATGTAAAAATAAATAAATAAATGTTAAAGGCCTGGCTTACAGTAGTAATCAAATAAATATTCATTTCCACAAGGAAATGTGACGTTTTCCCTGAAAAGTTTACATTTATAAAGAGACAAAATGCACACACACACACACACACACATTCTTATTTAAAAGGCAAAAAAAGAACAAATCCATCTACTAGCAGTTTTCAGAGTAAAAGAAATCTTCTAATGGTCAAAATCACTAAAGAGAAAAATTTTTAAAAAAGGGTAGCAACATGTCTTCAGTTCTCATTTTCTTTACATCTCCTAATTATGACTTTGACTCATAATTAGATTGTTATTATCATAAGACTGTTCATTTAGTACCCTATACTAATCCACCAGTATAACTTTAGAAATCATTGCTTTTTCTTATTAATGAGTGAATTGCATGTGTTTTCATTGTGGTTGTGATTATGACACATGGTTAACATTTCTACTCCAAAAATGTGTGGCAATATCTCTATTGAATAAATTCATTATGAACAACCTCTCTGTACAACAAAAGATCTCCCTGCCCTGGACAGAGCTAATTTCAGAAGGACATTAGCTAAACCAGAGAAGATCTTTTGGACAGCATCTTGTTATGGGATATGACCTATATAGAGACCTGAAAGTTTTATTCTACACAAAATTTTTATAACTGCTTTGTATCTCACTAAGCTCATCAAGTTATAGAAATTTTGATGTAGATAAAAGTACTGTGATGTTCTATAGCTCTATCCCAACGCTTGGAAAGGAATCAGAGGTACCTACAGAAATTAGGATTTTTCTTCCTACTGTTAGCTAACATAGCCATGCAAATAAAGCCATGTGCAGCCTCCAGGGTAAGTAAAGACATGTTGGATGAGTGAAGGAAATGCAAGAAGTAGAGATCTTGGTCTTACTTTCCAGAACAATGTGATGAATCCTTCTTGTAATTTTAGATTCAGTCAAATGATGGAAGAGAAAGATGGAACTGAATAGAGGCCATTGGTGTTCTTATACAAAATTTGATAATATTAAGAATGTGGTAGAGGTATATATGGGGATCTTCAGGGGAAAATGGTGAGGATGATGGGTAATATGTATCTATCATCTAAACTGATTTAAGAAGTTACATTGAAAATGATGACCTTTCCTGTCTGCCTCCATCATGTAACTACTCACCTCATGGAATTAGGTATGGCTCAATATTTGAGTTGTGCCTCCTATTAGCTATTTAAATTATATCTAATTTGATATCTTTAAATTCTTTCACCAGTGTCAGGAAGATACTTGAAATGTGTATGTTGTAATTCTTAGTTGAAAGACAAATTTACCACCCTCTAGTATGCAATTTCACAGTTTGGACACTAAATAAATGTAAGCTGGATTGTGACAAAAATAGATTATTATTAAAATAGGTTGAGGAGACCAACAGAGAGAATATATACACATGTACAAACATACACATATTAATTGCAACCCCCAAGACTTCCTACAAACTATTTAAGGATGTGTTTGAAATCAAGCAATAGAATTAGTAAATCTGTCACATTATTACAAATATTCCAACTTGAGGACTATTTTTTAAAGATTTTCAACATCCCCATGTTAATAAAGGAATAGTTATTTCAGTGCGATGAAGATATTACTTGTGTCTTGAGTTTTTAGGAGCACATTGCCTACTGGTGCTGTTTAGTCCTTCCCACCAAGGTTTCTTATGGACCAATGACCTGTCACTTCCTTCCATTTTTTCCAGATTGTCTTCCATCTTCCACCACTAGGCAAAAAGATATTCATAATATAGAAGTTTGATGGTCAATGGAAATTTAATACTCAAAATATAGAAGTCATTGATCCTTATCTAATGTCACCCTAAAACCTATGTTAGTATTATATTCTAGCTCCCCCTGTTACTGTGTTCCAGTATTTCTTCAAGAAACTCTGAAACAGGTATAATTAATATGACAATGCAAACATATGTAACCCATGACTCCCTAACATACAACATGAATCCGATTTCATACTGATGTATAAGATGTGTTGACCAGTTTTCGTGGAAATTATATCCAAACCAGCTTTATTCACAGTAAGTAATCACTATAACAAGTGCTAAATTAACCTGATAAAAACAGTCAAGTTTAAACAAAATTGGGACTATGTAACCAAAGAAGAAAATAAATTTTAATTATATTTTGCAGTTATACTACGCCTATTTCCTTATGGAGTGTTTATTCCTAAGTTTTGGTTTCAAAACAAGAACAAATGTACTTTAAATCTTATGTATTTTAACTCATATATATTCTTTGTATGCTGTATATATTCTTCAGTTAGTGATCAAAATTGGGGTCCTAATTTTGATAATTACCCTGAGAAGTGACTTTCCCTTATTCATGAAACCCTAGGGCATTTGCTTTACAGTTTAACACTTATATTTTTATAATTCATACCCAACTTACTTCCAAAAAATTTTCACGGTGAAATATGAGAATTTTCGGCCTCATGTTCTCCTGTCATTTTACATATAAAAAACAAACCAAGTAAATGCTTCATAGTGGTTTCAAATTTTTTTTTCGTATTTAAAACAGTAAAAAAAAAAAGTCAATGTACACATTTACAAATGTGAGAGGGAAATGGTATTTGAAAAACCCCAAAGATCTGGGATACTGCATTTGTAACTGTCTCATATATAGCTAGGGTATGTACATCAACAGAGGTAGAAAGAGATCATTTTTCTTCCTTAACCCAATATTTAAACGTTTTAGTTGTGAGTCAATTTTTCAACATAATTTCAATAACCCTCTCCTGGAGGAAAACTGACTTAAAATCCTCAAAACCTTATAGACTTACAAGTTGAAAATTAGTAAAATATCTTCAGGGTATTTCCTGTTAACCTCCTCTGTCCCTAACACTGTGTTTTTAACTCAGAAAACGAGAGTGTTAATATACCTGCACGAGTCTGATCTTTAAGTATCTGGAAGTGTCCCTGAGACTTGGGACAAGTCTCAATCAAAAACTTGGTATCACATTCCTGGTTTTAAGGGCCAGGGCGCGCTGCTAAACGAGGTAATGGTTCTTCCCGTTAGGGAGGTGAAGCAGCAGGAGGAAGAACCTGAGATTGATGTGTGGGAGCTGCTGAAAAATGCAAACCCCAACGAGTACGAGAAGATTGCCTTCCAGTATGGCATCACTGACCTGCGTGGGATGCTCAAGCGGCTCAAGCGCATGCGCAGGGTGGAGAAAAAAAGCGCAGGTGAGCACGTCCCCCTGGTAGATTCAGTTCTGCAATCAGATTTATAGGGTTTGTTGTGGTTTAAGTTTTATCTGTTCCTTTGTTTTTTCTTCTATATTCCACATATGAGGACAATCATTTTTAAAGCTTTTCAATAATTCTTATGTTTTTTCCTCAAAACATACAGATTCTCTTTAGGATTTCCAGGCCAATTTATTGTATATAAGTTGACACAGAGTTCTATTTATCCTGTTCAATAGATCCTAAAATATAAAGGATAATTTGGAAGCCTCCTATTTTTTTTTCTTTTCATCAATTCTCAATTTTTCAATTTTTCATTCTCAATTCTCAATTTTCCATCTGGTTTGGGGTTCTCAGACTTGTAGTGCCTATTTAAATTCATAGTATATATCTGTATATATACTAATATAGTTTTGCTTCTTCTCCCTGCCAGCTTTTTCAAAAATTCTTGATCCAGCATATCAGGTTGATAAAGGTGGCAAAGTTAGGTTTGTCGTGGAACTGGCAGATCCAAAGTTGGAGGTGAAATGGTTTAAAAATGGTCAAGAAATTCGGCCCAGTACAAAGTAAGTGAGTCTTACAAATAACCAGTGATAATTATAAATAATTCAAACAGAGTCTGATTTGATTGCCTGGAAATCAAAGCACTTTTTGGTTATGTCTTTTTTTTTTTTTTTTTAAATATTAAATTTTATTTTTATATTCCCCCATACAATTGCAAATGCCCCATTCTGACCCCAATCCTTCCCCTCCCGCCCCCCACCCCCAAAAAGTGTCTCTGGTTCATAGTTTTTTGTTGATTTTGATTTTCACTTTCTTATATTCATTTTCCTGGTCCCTTATTTAAGTTTTCTAGATTCCTGCTATGAGTGAGACCATCCGGTATTTTTCTTTTTCTTTTTGGCTTATTTCGCTGAGCATGATCCCTTCCAGCGCCATCCATGTTGCTGCAAATTGCATGTGTTTATCTTTTTTGAATGCTGAGTAATATTCCATGGTATATATGTACCACATCTTCTTGATCCAGTCATCTATTTTTGGGCATTTGGGTTGTTTCCAAAGCTTAGCTATTGTAAACAGTGCTGCTATAAACATAGGAGTGCAGGTGCTCTTTGGAATTGATGTTTCTGTGTCCTTTGGGTAAATACCTAGGAGTGGAATTGCTGGATCATATGGAAGCTCTATGTTTAGTAGGTCCAGAAATCTCCACACAGCTCTCCATAGTGGTTGGACCAGTTTGCACTCCCACCAGCAGTGCAGGAGAGTTCCTTTTTCTCCACATCCTCGCCAACATTTGTTGTTGCTAGTTTTTTTAATATGTGCCATTCTCACTGGTGTAAGATGGTATCTCATGGTAGTTTTGATTTGCATTTCCCTGATGACAAGTGATGTTGAACATTTTTTCATATGTCTGTTGGCCATTTGCATTTCCTCTTCAGAGAAGTTTCTTTTTAGCTCTTCTGCCCATTTTTTGACTGGATTATTTTCTTTGTTGTTGCTGAGTCTCATCAGCTCTTTGCAGATTTTTGTGATCAGTCCTTTATCATTAGTGTTGGGTGCAAAAATGTTCTCCCAGTTGGTGGGGTTTCTCTTTGTTTTTGTTATTGTCTCTTTTGCTGTGCAGAAGCTCTTTAATTTGATGTAGTCCCAGCTGTTTATCTTTGTCTTCACTATCACTGCTTTGGGTGATGTGTCTGTAAAGATGTCTTTGATGTGCAAATCCCGTAGTGTTTCGTTATGTCTTTATAATGCGAAGTCATATGGAGGAAGAGTAAAAATTTAAGTCACTTTTTATGTGTTTTGAAACCATGAACACTATAGTGCTATAAATTAAACTTTGTTTTTGTTTTAATTCTACACAAACTATTTCAACTGATTCCCAATTGTGGCTTTGTGTCACTATAGGTTTTAGTGATCATTGCAGAATATTACCAAATTTGTTCCAATTTTTTAAAATAATTTTTTTTAATTTGAAATACTACTTGATGGGCCAACTGGAACTGCACCTCATAATTAGATAGCTTTTGTCTTTCCCAATAGCATCTAAAGCCTGTCTTTTATTATTTGTTGGCCTTCTCTCAAATGATGGAGAGAGACTAATCCCTGATTTTGACAGTATCTCTTGCCCATTATGAAACCACTTTATAGAGATCCTTTTCAGCCTGAGAGCTTTTCAACTCCAACGTATTTTTTTTTTAAGTTAATAGGAGCCACATGCACTTTTACAAAAGACTTTAATCCTGAAAATCTGTCACTTCCGAAGCACAATAAGGTGGTTTCCAATTTCTTAATGTGATCATGTTGACAGAGTGACTCTGTTATGAATGTTGGTATCTGGTAGAAATCTCTTGAAGGCAGTCAGAATTTACCAAAAACACAATTTTGTTTGGGTATCTTTACCTATAAAGTGTTTAGTGTTTTGTTCCTGGAGCCTTTAAGAATTACTCAAATATGAACTTTCTCTTTGTTCCATTAACACATCCTCACATACCCATCCATAATCCAGGTCACAGATTATTAAATTCTGTGATCTTGGCATTTAGTTTTTTGTTTCTGAATACTCAACTTTTTTTAGTAGATGGTAATTATAACATGATAGTATTAGTGCTTAAACTCATTTAAGAAAATATCATTCTGTAGAATTGTTCCCTGTTAGTGATTAAGTTCAATATTATTGCTTAAATTGCATAATCATTTCTTCATCCATTATGTTACTGGACTAAGCAGGAAGTAGAATCAATGAATAAAATCAGGTCTCTGTTCCCCATAAAGTTGATGAGTTGGTCATTTTTCAAAATACACAGTTAAAAGCTTCTCTGACAATCTCAACCAAACCTATTTTTCAACAATGGGTTAAAAAAATAAATAGCAAATATGCAAGTATTGACAGATTTGGTATTAAAAAAAACCTTACATAACTAAATCAAATGTGCATGTATATTACATTATGTATTTAAAGGTAAAAATTGGTTTAATGTTTGACATTAATTCAACTACGTAAGATACGCAAATGGCAAATCAAAACTATATCCCTGGCTGTCAAACACTGAATTCTAAGCCAAATTTGCTGGCTTTATAGAAAAGAATAAAATCGAGTTCACAGAAACTCTGCTTGCCATCCTTCTACTTAAAACAGATACATCTTTGAACATAAAGGAAACCAAAGAATCATGTTTATCAATAACTGTTCGCTGACAGATGATTCAGAGTATTATGTGACATGCGGTGATGAGAAATGTTCCACTGAGCTCTTTGTGAGAGGTAAGTGAAACCTCTTACTGCAGTCACCAAGAGCCCAAGGGTAATAATCAAAATGAAAGTGACAAAGTAAACTCTGAGCTCCCCAGCAGAGGTAGTATTTCCTCTGGAAATGGTTTAGCTTGGGTGTTAGATTGCCTCTACACTGAGGCTCTTCTACACTGGCATTATTACGAATCTAAGTTCATCTTCAAGTTTGTTGACGACTAGAAAAACTGTGGGGAGGGAAAAAAAAACCCACTAAGTAAAAATTATTTGTGATTTTGACTCAGGCAAGCAGTATTTTATGATATGATTGTTCTAGTTATAATTTCTGACCCAACAGAGTCGACTGGATAATCATTTCACACACTCAGCTGATTACCAATAGATTTCTTTAGAAACCAGCTTATTAGTAAAAGGAAATCCATGGCTGGCTCTGAGAGGTGAGGGTCACTGCTTGCTAAGATATCTTTGTCATGCGTATAAAACCAAAATCAAAGAATTATAGTACAGTATTATACATATTCTTTCACATGTATCTATCACCTGCCTTATTTACCCAAAGAAGGATATCTGATATATATTTTGTTTGCTCTCTAGAATAATCACTAATTTGATTTGGAGCATTCTAAAAAATTGGGAAAATACCCAGGATTTCCAGTTATTTACTCTGCCAAGAAAAGTCATCAAAACCCACCTACTAACATCCATATGTTAACTACAGCTTTGTGGTAGATGATACTTTCTAATGGCTTGTTTTTCATCTGTGAACAAATCCCAGGTCATGAGGCAGGTGTTGACCATTTAATGATTCTGATTCTCCTTTTTTCCCCCAGAACCTCCAATTATGGTGACTAAACAACTGGAAGATACACAAGCTTACTGTGGGGAGAGAGTAGAGTTAGAATGTGAGGTGTCTGAAGATGATGCCAATGTAAAATGGTAACTTTCTTGAAATTTGTTTTTAACAGGTTTTCCAAAACTGCCTTTATTTTTTGGAGAACAGGAAATGGTTTTTACACGTGAAAAAAACCCTAAACCTCATCTGTGTTAGTAGAGATGGTAACTAACACTATACAAAGATGTTGAGGTTTTTTTCACCTATGAAACTGGAAAAAAAATCCAAAATTCAATATTGGTAACGATATAGGGAAATAGGCACTAATAAATGGATGACTCAAGGCTAGCCAGCCCTGTCTTACCCCAGAGCTGTCTTTATAGTGTAGTAACACTATTGTTACTAGTGTGTGCCAAGAGGTAATATCTACCCTTAGTATCTTCTTCTGATTGACCTTCAATGGGAAGAGGGGCCTTATGTTTTTAATGTAATTTTTCAAACAGTATTAACTATAATATTGATCCACTGATAGATTGGTTCATGCATTCTTTAATTCAGCCAATAATTCTTGAGTATCTGGTATCTGCCAGACACTGCAAAACACTGGACTATGGCAAAAAAAAAAAAAAAAAAAAAAAAACAAAACAAGGACCACCTTCTCAAGAGTCTTTTATAAAAAAAAAATTATAATCTGTTTTAACCCAGGTTTAAGAATGGCGAGGAGATCATTCCTGGTTCAAACCCGCGATACAAGTTTCGAAGTGAGGGCAAAAAACGCTTTTTGATCATAGAAGGAGCAACAAAGTCTGACACTGCAGAATATTCTGTAATGACAACAGGAGGACAATCAACTGCTAAACTTAGTGTTGACTGTAAGTAAGACTTCCTTGGATGTCTTTCAAGTTGCCTTACCAATGGTGTTGTTTACTCAGTTTTAGGAAATTCTCAACCTAGCTGATGCCTCCCTGTGGCAATTGTAAAGATGTAAAATTGGATTCCATTTCAGCTGTCTATGTCATAGCATTTGGGTCTCTGAGAAGGAAACTGACTACTCAATGTAGTAGCAGAATACTAATATTGGGAAGGAAGTATAAAGTAACCTGCCAAAGCAGTTAGCCAAATGGTGAAGATGTATTCTAATCCCACAAAAGTATAAGTATATGGTAAATATGTACCTATGATATCAAATCCTGATAATGTTTTCAAAATAGATGAACTTGCTATCAATTCATGAAATAAACATTCATTATTCTGCAAATATATTTGAAGTGAGAGGGAAGTTACTCATTTGAAGTGAGAGGAAAGTTACTCAAATGAACAGGACTCCCATGAGAACATTGTAAAAACTCATTTGCTAATTAATTGGGTTCAGAGGCATGAAAGAGTCTTCTTCTAATGCCCCCTAGTGGAAGTTAATTCTCAAAGCTAGTTACCCCTTCCAGTGAGCAATGAAAATTTAAATCTCAAATATTGCAGGGAGATTGGTAATACACGCTGAGCAGAAATCCTGCGTTTGTACTTCTTTCTTGTAAAGCTTAATTCATGTGACCACTGCATTATTCAGAACCCATCTCACTCACATTCCTTATGTTTCATAGCATTATGACCATTTTGTTTAACATCAAAAAATTTTTCAACCATAGGCAGATCCTTACCTGACATTTAAATCTATGTAGAGCAATTATTGTCAGTTCTGCTATAATGCAAAATAGGAATTTCTGAAAATCATTATGGTATATGAGTCATGCAAAAAAAAAATCATTGAACTAATGGGGAAAGTGGGATGATGATGACAAAACTCAAAAATTTTGTCAGCAAGGTCCTCCCTGGTGGTGCAAGGGATTAAGCAAAGCACTGTGAAGCTATCTGCAGTTGAATCCCCAGCCGGCCATGGCACAGCAGACCTGTCCTGCCTCTCCCGCTGCTCCCCTCAGCAGTGTATTTCAATCTGCCTATTCTGTTCCCCACTCTGTCTCTGGTGAATCCTCTCACCCCCCATATCTCTGGCCTATACCCCAGTTCTTGAATGCATAAATAAATAAATCTTTAATTTAAAAAATTTGTTAGCAACACATTAAAGAAAAACAAATGAAAAGATCCTAATTTTAAAAAGTAGCACAGTTTTACATGTATTAAATAGATAATAAATACCACAATACCAAATATACATTCACTTAACAGTGGGGATACATTCTGAGAAATGCATCATTAGTTGATTATGTTGTTATACAGACATCATGGGGTGTACTTACACAAACCTAGATGGTATAGCCTCTCACACACCTAGGTTTTAAATATAGAGGAATCATCATTACTTATATGACCCATCACTGAACTAAAAATTGTATGCACCATATAAGTGAATTATGGCACTTGGCCTTGAAAAAGACACCTGAAATTTGCTTATGGAAGTGTGTCAAAGGCATTTTCGTTTGTGAGCTGTTGTGTAGAGGTGAAAGGAAGGTACATGAAATTGGAAGGATAATGCAACCTCTAGGATAGTGCATGTGGTGTGGCTTTTATCACACCCATATAAAGTAGTCCATACTGAGATAGCTGGCAGGTGTATGAGGAGGGTGTGTGTGTATGTGCATGCACATGCGCATGCATGTACACAGATCTACCTGGCTCAGTTTAACTTGGTGCAGCTTTCTGAATTTGTCTTGTTGTCTCAAGAATGAAATTGTGCATAATCATACATGAAATTTGTATGATGCTCCAATTGTATTCTAATGCATTAATTGCATTGTACAAATACTTTTTTCAAAACAGGCATTATAGCAAAACTGATGGCAACACTATGAAATGACACCATCTTGGCTTGTCTAATCTTTGAATTTTGCACTTAATAATCATCTCTCCTTCTGGTAGTGAAACCTCTGAAGATATTGACACCTCTGACTGATCAGACTGTGCAACTTGGAAAAGAAATCTGCTTGAAGTGTGAAATCTCTGAACCTGTACCAGGAAAATGGACTAAAAATGGCCTGCCAGTTCAAGAGAGTGATCGCCTAAAGGTTGTTCACAAAGGAAGGTAAGCAAACCAGGTGATACATAAGGGAGGGTTGGTCTCCATCTGCAATTTCTCCACTTCCTAAATTACAGATTTAATGAGGATTTTTGGAGAGTAGTCATAGGAAGAGGATCTCTTTCTAATTATTTGCTTCCAAATAGGAAATGTGTGTGATTTATCTACTGCACATCATGCCCTTTCTGTGATCCTGTATTTGAACTTTACAGTGTGGTGCTTTGTCTGTTCAAAACTCATTGACTGATTGATTCCATCTAAATGTGAGGTTGGAGGATTGATGCTGAATTCCAGTTGAGGAAATGGTAGAAATGGATTAATTGTCCCAACCAATAAGTATCACATTACCTTTCAACAGTTTGGGATGGGAGGGGTCTAATTGCCTAGCAATAGGGGCTAAGCTAAGCGTGGCTGGTGTTTTTTGTTGTTTTTTTTTTTTTTTAAAGATTTATTTATTTATTTATATAAGCACTGGGCATAGTCAGAAGCGCGGGAGGGTGAGAGAATTCACCAGAGCCAGAGCGGGGAGCAGGGCAGGCAGAAGGACCGAAGTACACTGCTGAGGGGAGCAGCGGGTGGCAGGAGAGGTCTGTCGAGCCATGTGGGACCCCCGCTGGTGGCTGGGGAACTAACCGGCACTGCAGAGGCTGCGGGCAGCTTCGCAGGCCAGCGCTCAACCGCTCAACCATTGTGCCACCAGGGGAGGCCTGTGGCTAGTGTTTTTAACCTTGGACCCATGTAGCTTTAGTAGATCATGACTGACCTTCTGGGTGCCAGGGAGAAGGCATAAAGCCTCTGAAATTGTAAGAAACACACACACACATACAGAAAATTCTTTTCTCTAGAGAGAGGGTCCATAGGTCTATAATACCCATCAGTTATTTAGAGGTTCATGATCTCAATAAAGTTAAAATCTTTTGCTCTTAGGTTTGCATATAAAGCCAAAGTCAAGATTATTCTCAGTACTTTCTGGAATATTAAAGTGTGGCAATTAGTAAGATGCTGTATTTTAGCCTTTTAAAAGCTATGGGATGAAGAAAAGTTATAATAGACTGTTGTAAACATAACAAGTAGGCTGTATTCGTAAATATAAATTCATAGTCCAAAATAAACATTGTCTGCCTGTCTGTCTATGTCTTTCTCTAGTCTGCACGTTAATGAGGATAAGGTCAGGTGTGTCTTCTATTTGAGCTATATACAATCTAAGTCTTTGCAAAGTCTTATGAAAATATTTTTCTCTTTTCCCTAGAATCCATAAGTTAGTGATAGCCAATGCTCTCATTGAGGATGAAGGGGAATATGTATTTGCACCAGATGCTTACACTATTACTTTGTCTGCCAAAGCTCACGTTATTGGTGAGTAGATAAAAGAAATAATTGCAGAGTTGTGTTCTTATTTGTTTGTTTTTGTCTACCATGCAATTATAACATGTTAAAAATGATGTCATACTCGCCCGCTGCTCCCCTCAGCAGTGTATTTCAGTAGATCTGCCTGTTCTGTTCCCCACTCTGTCTCTGGTGAATCCTCTCACTTTCACACCTCTGGTCTGTATTCCAGTTCTTGTATGCATAAATAAATAAATCTTTTTTAAAAATAAATAATTAAAAAATAAAAATGATGTCATATTTAAAGAAAACTACACAAATTCATATAAGTCAATAATAATAATTTATTCATAAGTCTTATAATGAAGTAGTTTTGCAAGGTGCTTGGCACCAACTACCTTGAACCCTCATTTTTTTTTTTTTGGCCAGATAGAAGACTGGCTACTGTTTATCACTGGTTGCATACTAGCCCAGATGCTCATACAGGCATGACTGTCTGGTAACAAAGACTATATGTCATGTTCCAGATCCTCCTAAAATCAAACTGGATGGCCTTGGTCCTGACAACACGGTGACAGTGATTGCGGGAAATAAGCTTCGTCTTGAGATTCCCGTCAGTGGAGAACCACCCCCTAAATGCATGTGGAGCCGTGCAGATAAGGTTTGTTCTATACACACACACACACACACACACTCAGTGTCCATCCTAGTCCTCTCCTGTTAGTCAGACAAATAAACGTATGGTCTATGGCACAGATGCAATTCCTTTGAGAAAGAATGGTAACTGACTTTCAAGCAAATCTAATATTCATTGACTTTCCCTACTTTTGTCTACCTACTGTGTGCATGGGCATGTTTTAAAGTGCAGTGAACAAGATCCCATCTTTCATTCTAATGGGTGTTGGGGAAGAGGGTGGAAGAGAAATTGTCAATGAATTATTAAGTAAATAAATAAAATTACTACACCTAGTACTGTTGAGATTTAAAAAAAAAAAAAAAAAAGCCCAGGGAAATATGATTAGTGAGTGTCTGCCTGGTAAATGATGCCAACGGATGACAATATGGAATGACACTAAGGATGCAAATGATCCATCGTATCATTGATCCATACATAATGATCCATACGTAAATGATATTAGGATGATAATAAGGAATCCATGATGTAAAGATCCAGGGGAGAGATGTCCAGTCCAGGCAACGTAACTGCAAAGGCCAGGGAGGCCTTGATGTGATGGAGAAAGAGAAGGGAAGTCCATGTGGCTGGGGCTGCTGAGTCAGGAGAATAAAGATCTTCAGAGTGGAAGAGGAGAGCGAACTCAAGTGTGACTCTAACTTCCTATAGGAAATGTTTTTGACTGAAAAAGCAGAACTTAAGACTTTCATTTCTAACCAGATGGAGTAAAGAAATTGTCTTTATCCACTGCCCTAAAATAAACTGCAATACAAAGAAAATATATGAACAATAGTTTTCTGGACATTAGATATCAGACAATGAAAGGCAATGGCTTGGAAATATGGGGGACAGATGAGGGAATTGCGTAATTGCCCCAGCTTGCCTCCTTGAGTGAGTTTCCAGACAGTTTCCAAGAAGAGGCACCCAGATAAGACAAGACCCCAGTGGAAGTTGCGAAGGCTCTTCACACAAAGAGGCAAAGGCCTGGAGTTCACAGGCCACATCCTCTGCAAGGGTGTAAGTCAGAGAGAGAAACCTAGGACTTTGCAAAGGATGCAACTTCTGTATTCAGCAGAGATCAGGACGCATCTGGGAGGAAGCTACTCAAGACTGAGGCAAGAACCGTTTGAGAGGACTAAATGGAAGAGGACTGGTGCTTTCACAAGCCCAGGGGCAGTGGTTGCCTGCCCCCTCCCCACCAGACTTGAAAGCCTCACAATTCACAGTGCATGGAGGAGAGGACTCAGGAAGGCTTTGCCTGGGTTATGGGAGTATTTAATTCTAGACTGAGCACTGCTCTGGGGCCACCTCATATATGATAAAAACAGGTCCTAAAAGTCTCAATCAATTTCCAAGTAATTTAAATGCATTCCAAAACAAAACTCAAGATCATGTGTAAGAATACAAAAATATCAAGATCAAATTCATGATGGCTTCCATCTAATCAAACATTATGGCAAAGAAGGAAACAGGGAAAGAAAACCCAATATGAGGAGAAAAGTAAATTGAAGCCAATGCAGGTCTCACAGAGATATTAAAATCAACAAAGACGTAAAAATAACCATGTTAAATATAAATTTTAAAGGTTTCTATATGTTCACAAAGTTAAGTGTGAAGTGGAAGATATTAAAAAACCCAAATCATACTTCTGGAGATGAAAATGATAAGATATAGGAAATAAAATATATATATACATATATGCATGGAATGGACAACTTACATATTGCAGATGAAAGGATTATTGGGGTTTATAGGGTTAAAAATTCAGTCTCTTCCTTGACTTGCCAACAAGGATGGGAAGTTTTGAACAGATAAGGGGAACTGAATAGTTACCATGGGAACCAGGCCTTGAGCCTAGCAGATTGAGGAACCAAAACATTGTTACGGAAATAGGGCCAAAAGCCAACCAACTTGTGGCCCCTAATGGCTGGTGTAAATTCTAAAAACTCTAGGGATGGATTGCAGTCTGACATTTTAGTAGATAGCAGCTCATGCAGACCTGTGTCCTAAATCTTAGAAAGCCCATGAGTTCAGAGTATAAATAGAGCTGCAAACTTCCCTCATGGTGCAGACACTTTTGCCTCACGCCCTGTTTTTCTAGCTGGGTAATCAATAAATCTGTCTTTTCTACTTTCCATGCTGTCTCTGGTGAATTCTTTCACTACCATAACCCCAGTGTTCCTTCACAGCCACTGTTGTCCCTTGCTGGGCATTAACCTTCTCTCTTTTTCTTCTTTTTATATTGGCTGTCGTTGTCATAATCAGAAAAATGTAAGGCTGCTTTGCATTTCTGGTTTAAGGAAGAAGGAAGGAAAAAAATTAAAGGAAAAGAAAGCGGAGGGGAAAAAAGGAGAAAGGAAAAGAAAATATAATAAAAGCACAATTTCACTCCAAAATCAGATGTCCATTTTTCATGCCCTGTTGGAAGGAAAAAAATCGGTGCTCAATAAGTTGTATGGAAAATTAGCATTGCAATGTTTTTCAACTTTTTTCATTATTTTTATATTTTCAAGATAACCTAAGGAAATGAACAAATCATTACCTAGTTTCTGATATGAGTTTAAGTTTTTCTAATTTCATACACAAAGAGACTCCCCTCCTCTAGAATGACACTTTTGTGCTCGTATTTTGAGTCCCCCACTTTGTTTTGGTTAGCTTTCTCATACATGTGTGGGATGATAATACTTCACCCTTAGAGTTGGTGGAGGAGTAAACCAAGAACGTGTATTTTAGGGGCCTCCCTGGTGGCTCAAGGGGTTAAGCACTGCTCTGTGAAGCAATCCGCAGCCTCTGCAGCACCATTTTGATCCCTGGCCGGCCAGGGAGCACCCCACATGGTGCTGCAGATCTCTCCTGTCTCACCCGCTGCTCCCCTCAGTACTGTATTTCAGTCAGTCTGCTTGTTCTGTTTCCCACTCTGATTCTGGTGAATCCTCTCACCCCCCTGCATGTCTGGCCTGTACCCCAGCTCTTGTATGTATAAATAAATAAATCTTTAAAAAAAACAAAACATTTATTTTTGCCATTAGTGCCAAGACCAGCTTAAGTTATAAGGCACTCATACAGTGTTTCTTTCTTCTGCAGGCTATCATGGAAGGCAGTGGACGCATAAGAGCTGAGTCTTACCCTGACAGCAGCACTCTGGTTATTGATGCAGCGGAAAAAGACGACTCTGGTGTCTACCACATAAATCTGAAAAATGAAGCTGGAGAAGCACATGCAAGCATCAAAATTAAAGTTGTGGGTAAGTCCTCTAAACCAACTAACTTCGAGAATCAAGTGGACATGTCTAGATCCAAAATGGACTTTGCCAGCTCTTGGTTTTCTTAAATTTGCAGGGTTGTCAACAAAGCATAAACAATGTATAGCTCTATTTTATAATCACCATCTTCCTTTTTTTGCCTTTGCCACTTCCTTTCTTTTCTTCCATTCCCTGCCCTTTTCTCTCCTTTCTCTTATTTCTTGCCTAAAGGACTTAATTCAGGCATGAGTAACTAATGTTAGCCAATTGGGGTTGCTGTTATTATCTCTCTACAGTCACATTCCCTTTCAATGTGGTTTTTTAAAAATTTTATTTTAGCGTAGAAAAACTGGGGTGTAGGCAGAGTTGGGGGTAGTGAGAGGATTCACCCGAGACAAAGTGGGGAGCAGAGCAGGTGGATTTACTGAAATACACTGCAAAGGGGAGTAGTGGGCGAGACAGGAGAGGTGCCATGTGGGTTAGCTACCTGGGGTGGGGGGGTTGGAACTCAGGTCATGGTGGTGATAGCACTGAGACTTAACCCCTAGGTCATCGGGAGACCCTCAATGGCCTTTTACCATCAGATCAGTGAAGTACAGCTGCTAAATAACTTCTGACAATCACTGTAGAGTACAGTTTACCTTGATCTGAGACAGCTGTCTCAGTTCATTTTTTTTTTCCAAGCCTGACACAGCAGATTACTGTGGTCCAAGGTCTTATGATTGCCTCATCTCACTTTGGACCTTCCTTATGAAACACATTTCATATTGACCAAAAGCTGAGGTTACTGTATCAGGCCCTGAACTATATTTAGAAGACATGGTGACTTGGGTTTCTACTAGTCAGCACCTTGAGTCTTCCAACTGATGTTAAGATTTACAATAATCAGTTCTTGATTCAGTTCTGCTGGAAGTTCACTTTGTAGATTAAAAAAAGAACATTTGACATTAAGCAAAGACTGTGGTCACTGTTTTCAAAGTACAGAACATGAGTCTTGTCTTCCATGTGGGGCTTGTTCTCTAATGGTGTAACACTAAAGGATTTTGATTTTGATTTTTACTTGACTCACTTTCTCTGATCTCATATGGAACATGGTTTGTTTGGGGTTTTTTGTGGAGGGTTTTTGCACAAATTAGTTACTAAGTGCATTGGGGGAAACATGGGAAAAGAACTGCTACTGTGATTATCACCAAAGCACTTACTTTCCAGTTAACATTTTTCTTTGTGCATACTCTCTTGTTTTATTTCACTTTATTTAATTTTTTTCTTCACCACAGACATCCCTGATCCTCCAGTGGCCCCAAATGTGTCAGACGTGGGAGATGACTGGTGCATAATGAGCTGGCAACCTCCTGTCTATGATGGAGGGTCCCCAATCTTAGGTAACACATGTTGGTCCATCTGTGGAACTCCCTGGAGTTGAGTTCCTCTTTGTATACTTTAGTAGAGAGTACATTTAAAAATACTGCATTTAGACGAAAGTCTATTATACTATGACTTTAAGTATCCATTCAAACGGGAATATATTTTGGGATGCTCTCTAAACACTGAAATTTAAATAATTCTATTGAAAATCATTTGACTATTCTTTCAGTTTGTTTGTTTGACATTCATACTCAATTACTAATTTTAAAACATTGGAAGTCTACTTTTAAACTTTTAGTAAATTAATATCTAATTCCATATAATTATGAATTCTATAATTTCTATGAAGAAATTCTTTTTAGAGTTAAATATTTGAAAGAATTTGCTTCCATGAAGAAATTCTTTTTAGAGTTAAATATTTGGAAGAATTTGCTTCCATAACTATGGAACAAGAATTTTTTCTACTTCCTAATAATGAAATAAACAAAACTTATCATCTCCCTGTTATTACCTGCATGGCTGGATCTCAGAACCAAATCTCTTGCTCAATTATAGCAGCTGTATAAGCTGCTATTGCCCACATATCTGTGGTTTATTTTTTTCTGTTTTCTTTCTAGTACAACTTAAATTTTTTCTAACCCTACTATTTTTATCTACATATTCCAGTGTTAATATTTGTATTGCTTCTAACCTGTCTTTAAAAACTGATGGAAGAAGGTGGATTTCAAATATATGCATGACTGTTTCACTGAAGGTGCCAAGAATATGGGAAATTTTAGGAAATTCTAATATCTAACAAAGTTTATTGTTGGAAACCAAGGAAAATCCTCAGTTTCCATTCTGTGTCGCCTGTAGGATACTTTATTGAAAGGAAAAAGAAACAAAGCTCCCGATGGATGAGGCTGAATTTTGATCTCTGCAAAGAAACAACTTTTGAGCCCAAGAAGATGATTGAAGGTGTTGCCTATGAGGTCCGCGTCTTTGCTGTCAATGCCATTGGCATCTCCAAGCCCAGTATGCCCTCCAAACCTTTTGTTCCTTTGGGTAAGTCAAGAAAAATAAGTCTGTGGCATGGAGATCATTGCCCCAGATTTATGACTACTTCCTCCCCACTTATAACGGAGCAGACCTAGAAGCTTCTTAAAGTGGTGAGTAACAGAAGGTTAGAGGTAGTTAGGGGAACTTGTCTGTCTAAGGGAAAAAAAAAAAAAAAACTTTGGTGGAGCTGAATACATTTATAATGTAGGTCCTGGAATTTATCACCAGAATTCCAATAACAGCGGTGGGTGGCTCTGTTTGATGCTTCCCACTGATAACGTAAAGTTCAGCCCATTGACATATGACCCCTCTCCATTTGTCCTCCAGAAAGTATAACCCTGCACCTTGTGTGAACTCTGTGATAATTAAGACAAATTGATAATGGTTCAATAGTGCACTCTTGAGAATTAGCCTCTTTGCTTTATAGTCACACCTTAAATATTATCTCTTGACTCAAAAAATGTTGAGTAAAGGTGAAAAAAATAGAAATAGAAAATAATGTCTCCATTACATTCATACTATGTATTTTTTTTTTTTTTTTGCAATAGAAAGAAGTGTAAGTACAAAAGTTATGCTTTAAAACTATAGAGTTAAGGGAAATTTTGATCTCAAGCTTTCACTTTTTTCAACTTCCTTATATTCCTCAGCCTCCCAAACCAACCTCCCAAATTGCAGGGAAAGTGTGGCAGCATATCTAAAAATGTCCCTACCTCGCAGACCTTTGGCTTATGCATACAGCATGTGCTCCGGAGTCCTCATTGTTATAGCATTGGGCTTCTGGGAATATTTCTTATTTGTCTCCTAGTCCGTATTATCACAGTTCCTATGCCCCGGATATGTGGTTAATTTCTTCTTTTTCTGTTTCTTTTATCTTTGAAGCTGTAACCAGCCCTCCCACCCTTCTGGCTGTCGACTCTGTAACTGATAACTCGGTCACAATGAAGTGGCGGCCCCCAGACCAGATTGGTGCAGCAGGTTTAGATGGCTATGTGCTAGAGTATTGCTTTGAAGGAAGTAAGTATAACTCGTAGTTAAAATGAATACCATCATCAATAGGTGAGCTCTGGCCCTTTTTCTTTTGTTTCTCTTCCTCGGGACCTCATCTCCTTTTACTGAAAATGACAACAAGCCAAAATCATCCTTCCAAAATGGATGAAAACTTAGTCTTTCTTTGGAACTTAATGCTAAGAAATTGATATTAAGCATATCCTAGCTAGGGAGCTAGATCAAACAACACGGTTGATCTGAGTCACATTGGAAAAGGGCTCTGACCTCATTTCTGGGAATTCCACTTCTTGAATTGGTGGCATTAAATTGTCCTAAAGCAAAATAAAATTTTAATTAGGATGAAACAGCTGAAAATTCCAGACCAGGGACCTCCCTGGTGGCACAAGGGGTTAAGCACAACACTATGAAGCTGCCTGCTGCCTCTGTAGCATGAGTTCGATCCCCGACTAGCCAGGGAGCTACCTACATGGCACAGCAGAACTCTTCTGTCTCTCCTGCTGCTCCCCTCAGCAGTGTATTTAAGTACATCTGCCTGTTCTGCTCCCCATTCTCTCTGGTGAATCCTCTCACTCCTACACCCCTGCACCTCTGGCTTATACCCCAGTTCTTGTATGCATGAATCGATAAACCTTTAAAAAAAAATGAAAATTCCAGACCCTATACTAAACAGAAGTAAGCTATCAAAAGAGCTGCCTATTTCTAGGTAAATAATGACAGACTATCTGTTAATCATCTCCTACTTCCTTATAGGAAATAAAAAAGAATTAAGGACAACTTTCAGTTTTTAAAGAAAACAGCATAAATCTTAGGGAGTATAGAAATAGATTAGACATGGAGCATTAACTTATCTCAGGGATTGGTTATATAAAAAATGTAATCACTGAAATTTAGGAGGCGAAAAGAAACTGACAAAAATCATAGAAATAAGAGAGAAAAGAGAAAATGACCCAAGAAAATATGGGTCAGGATGTATCTAAAACAAAAGAAGATTTTAAATTCACTGGAAGTGATATTTTATATTTTCTGCTTGTCGTGACTTGAAAATAGGGGAATAAAAATGCCCCAGCTTTGGACTCCAGCTCCATGCTAGACGGTGGTAGATTAAACAAGCCACCAGGGAAGCTTATGCTTACACCACACAGAATAGGCCAAGAACTAGCCACTAGCAGACTCTTTAGATTCCCCAACTTTAATGTGGATCTGATTGAAGGACCAAGACTACATAGCCCATTCAGGAAAGTAGGAACATGAACACCAGCCCACCTCCCCAGGAGGAAATTCTCCAGAGAAGAACCATCTTAGGGGGGAAAAAACTGCTGAAAAGGAAACCCCAGACCCCAAGCCTGGGGCACCCATGGAAATGACCATGGTTGGTAGAAAGTGAAGAAGAGGAGGGACTGAAGCATGCCGTCAGCACCCTGTTCTATTTCCAAGTGCTGTGCTCACGCAGCACTATGCTTGGTTTTTCCAGGCCTCGGAAAGTAACTATCACCCGTGGGGACCATAAGAGAATCCCCAGCATTAGCCCAGGGTGGGAGGGGGGCAGTGTCACCAATGCAAGGGGTCAATTCTTGAGCACTTCAGAATATGGTTTATTCCCATTTTCCAATCCCCACTCCATTTCAAAAATTCATGAGCACCCCACTTTATTTTTTTATATCACCCCGTCAGCAGAATTTCCCAATCTTAAATGCGATGTGGTTGCTGAGCACAAACCTTTTATGTATGTATGAAATAGAGCAAATTCTTTACTCTTTTCTTTCTGATAGGTTTAAAAAGTAAGAAGATACAGCAAAATGATAGATGGCTGTCATTTTGATGTTACCCACCTTAGCTAAAATACAACCATGTGTATTTTACATACTTTGGCGTGTGGTCTGTGTAGATATGTATGTATATATGTATATACATATGTATATGTACACAGTCATTATTCTGTATCTATTTTACCACATAACGTTTTGGAATTAGCTTTCTATGGAAGTTCTTTCATAACGTGTATATCTTTCTCGCAGTCTTTTCTTACTTTATGTGGCTGCCCTATTCTTTATTCTCTTTTAATGGCTGTTGTCCTCCAGACTAATTTTCTGTAGTGTTTAATGCTTTTAGATACGTCAGGTTTTCTTCTGTAAGAGATTTCTTTCTTTTGTAAGATCGTGTGTTGGTTTTGAGTCTGCCTCTCTTTTTTTAATGCCTGCAGCATTTTATTCTTCTTTGTTTTCTTCCTTCACTCTAATTCTTCCTTGTCCTTCTTAAAAATTCTCCTCATGTATTAAATAACTTTCATGTTCCTTTCCCATCTCCTGGACACCATTTTCTTTCTCTCTGATTCCCTCAATTATAGTAGTTCAGGTGTAAAGGGATGGGCTATTTTGGTTTCCCCCAATCTTGTCCAGTTTGCTCTTGAAATTTCTACTTTACTAGTTCTTCATTCTTTCCTACACATTTTCCCAATCTCCTATTTTTACTTTCTCATCAATTACCTCTTAACTCTATAAACATCAACACAAAAACTCCCACACTGACCACTTGCTGAAAGACGTATCTCTTTTCCAAAATCCTAAGTAATTTTTATCATCCACATGCCTGCCAACCACCAGGATATTCTGGCTTCCTGCTTCTTCCCCCTGATACTTTTAAGAATTGGAATAAGAGAGAAATTTCCAAGGATGTGTTTGTGTGAAGGGGGTGAGGGGTGTGACCAGTCACCACTTCCGTGAGCCTCTCCTGGTACCTGCAAAGTCATCTCACAACCAGTGAGGTGTGTCCATGGCCACCGTGTGAGCCAACAATGTCCCCCCCATCCTTATAGAATGCAGCCAGGTGGAGGCTCAATTTGTTTTCTTGACCATGAGCATGTTGTCAAGGCAACCGGGGGTGCGTGCTGAGTTACTGGGCAGTTTCCCTCTCCACTGAGAACTCAAGCCCTGGGGAGACAGGACTGGCCTTATCATAAGTGCCTCGCTCCCAGACTCTGATGCTTGAGCCAAACTGTGGAGCACCATGTTCCCTGGGGATCTGCGAGGAACCCCCAACCCCGCAGGGCTGGGGTGACAGGGACAGGCACCAGGCTAGACTGTTCCACGGTGTGTGGCTTCCCTGTGGAGCCCAAGAGCATCTCTTCCTTTCTCTTCAGGGTCTTGCTTTGTTTTTCATTACCTCTTGTTCCCCCAGCTGGAGGCCGCCCAGCCTGCTTTCTCCTCCTCTTCTCTGTGGCTGGTGCCTCAGGACCAAAACCAAACCAGGGTCTGAACAGAGTGAGCTTGACCCCCTGAGGAGTTCCCTCCCTCTAACATGTCTGGTCTCTTCCATCACTACTCTGAAGACAAATTTCTTTGCATACTTTGCATACTTTACTAACAGAGAATGCTGACTACTGATACAATATTCTTCTGGTGTGAAAGTGGGTGTTTTTAATCAATTTTAATGACGGATTCTCAAAGGTACATCAGCAAAACAGTCTGATGAAAATGGGGAGCCTGCATATGACCTTGCAGGTAAAGTATTCTGCAAAAGTTCTCAAACTTTCTTATCATATGATAAAGTTTCTGGGAATGTTCCATGACCAAGCATGAAACACACCCACCACCCACATACAATACAGCCCTAGAGGTAGAGGGGAAGATGGGTAGTGAGTTAATAATGTGGGATCCAAACTCTCTTTCCTGTGGGCATATTGTGTATAAACTTTTAGAAGCTGAAATGTTGGCAGTCCCAGATGCCAGATTTAAATTCTCTTGATGTTGTGGACAAAGCTACCAAAAACTTTTTTAAAAAATAGAATTGTTGTTTGAGGTTAAAGAATTATGCCAATTCCTTATGAGATCTTTGGAACTGTGTTTTCTCTTTGCCATTAGAGATAGTATCTTCTCCTCATACATGGGAGATAAGATTCCTTATGCTCATACTCATCTCTCATAATAATAAATCAACCAAGACAAAATAGATATGTGACTATTTCTCATTCATAAGAATAGCATTGTCCTCTTTTTCTGAGGTTTAATGTATATAGATGGCTAAATAGCTAGTTACATCCATCATGATAAAACTGAATTGGAATAAAACTTATGCAAATACTTGGGGACAGTTTCAGCTTTGGTAGAGAGCTGAGTACTAGTATTTAGCATACTTAGCATCTTGGATAAGAGGGTTCCCAGAGACAGAATCCTAATGTCCTTCTTCCCATTTTTTATTTAAAAGTAAAAAGTGTTCACCCATATAATCTGAGTCCAGAGCAAAGTCATGTACCCACCAAATGATGTATTTAATCATGAGTAAAATTCTGAGTCTCCTGTGATGGATTATTTCACCCGCTGACCATTCTTTCTCCTCTATTCCTTTTTCTTTTATGGACTTTAGCTGAGAACTGGATAGTTGCAAACAATGATCTGATCGACAAGACCAAGTTCACCATCACAGGTCTGCCAACGGATGCCAAGATCTTCGTGCGTGTGAAGGCTGTGAATGCCGCCGGTGCCAGCGAGCCCAAGTACTACTCCCAGCCCATTCTCGTGAAGGAAGTCATAGGCAAGTATCTTCAAAATCTTGTCTCCATTTCACATTACAACCTTTATTTTTTAAGCCCCTTTCTTAAAACCTATTTGGTTGCTACTCCTTGAACATTTCATCAGTGCCTCCTGGGAGATAGATCATCAGCTCAGGTTATACCTTTTGGTGTGAGGATTAGTTAGGTAACTCACCAGGTTCCACGGGCCAGTGCTGGCAGGGCTGCCTCGTCACATTGGAGAGTGTAGATGCAGCAGGACAAGCAGTCCCTGAAGCAGCAATGGGGCTCAAGTGGAGTCTGCAAGGTCAAACCATTTTCATAATAATATGAGCTCATTATTTGCAATGACTGATGTCTGCACTGATGGTATAAAAATGATGGTGAATACAATTGCTTGGCTGTATTGTCTGTAGCGAATTTCTTAACTTCCTATGCTTCATTTTATTTATCATAAGATAACATTACCTACCCCAAGGGATGACTATGAAGTTTAAATTAGTCCCTTCATGAAAACCCTTTAGCTCAGTGTCTGTACCTACTAAGTGTTCTAGTGATGAGAGCTGCTTCATCCCTATGAGCCCATGAGCCTTTGACTCTCTGCTCCTAATGGGATGTAGCAACATACTTGACTCTCTTCCTGGTGTTTAATTAATGAACATTAGCACCAACGGGCTAGACTGCCTATTATATATACTTGACCATAGTCACAAAGTGAGAATCTTACTATCAAATTCCAACAGAATCACCTAAGTAGCAAGTACTAAGAGCTAAACATTTTTGTTTCTGGTGAGAAAGCACAACGGGAATTCCTACAACTACTGGGGTGCCTGCAGATCATCTGGAAACTTCGTCAGAGAATATACTTGCTGTTAGGAATAATGAAAAGTATGTATTAGGTTTGGGAGAAAATTTGGTGTTTTTCTATAAGTTGTTTTAGGCTTGTAATTACCATAAGCAAGGGAAGTTGCAGTAAAATCAGAGTGATCAAGGGTCAAGGCGGTGGCGGTGAGCCATTAAAACATCTCTACTTGGGGCCTCCCCGGTGGCGCAGCGGTTGAGCGCTGGGTTGCGAAGCTGCCGGCGACCTCTGCGGCGCAGCGGTTCGATCCCCAGCTGCTCCCCGGCCACCGGAGGAGGGTCCCACATGGCGCGCAGACCTCTGCTGCCGCCCGCTGCTCCCCTCAGCAGTGTACTTCGGCCCTTCTGCCTGCTCTGCTCCCCGCTCTGGCTCTGGTGAATTCTCTCGCCCTCCCGCGCTTCTGACTGTACCCAGTGCATGTATAAACAAAAAACAAACAAACAAATAAATAAAAAAAAAAAAAAAAAAAAAAAACATGCCTCTATAAATAAAAAAAAAAAAAAAAGAAAAAAAAAAAAAAAAAAAAAAAAAATAAAACATCTCTACTTGAAAACATGTGAAACAAAAATTACCATATATAATCTGCTAGTGGCACACCTAAGATTCTATTGCAGAGACAGGAGCATAAAGACATCCATTGGGACCATGCCAGTCTGCTTATGTAACACTCTTCCATTGTACCAAACTGATCACAAACTTATGCTATTCTACCCTGATGCAGAGCCTCCAAAGATTCGCATCCCAAGGCACCTGAAACAAACCTATATTCGCAGAGTTGGAGAAGCTGTTAATCTGGTTATACCTTTCCAGGTAGGAACAAGGATCACACATTTCCTCTTTCCAATGCTATGGTGTTGAAGAAGTAGAAGGAGGTCCTCCAGCATTTAATTTCATCAGGATTCAGGATTTCTTCAGAGGGAGAGTAGGAAATAAATGGAAGAGATTTGGGGTAATTAAACAACCTCCTATTTCAGAAGTAGAAAAATCTATAGAACTGTCATCGACTTTCCTTCTGCAGGAGAGAAATAAAATCTAGTCTTGTCTGAAATTCAGGGATGATGTTTGAACAGGGAAGAAACACGGTGAGATACCAAAATAAGAAATGCTTGAAGATTTTTTCTGGTCTTATACATATGTAAAACTGATCTTCATTTGAAGTGAACTCAGTGTAACGTTCAGGAAACCAACATGTGCTTATTTACCCTAAAGTGAACCAAATTCCCATAAAGAGATAAATGACATTTTAGATCTTGATGCCACTCACTGAAATATGTGAAAATTATCAAATTTTTTGCTCCAGCAAAAGAATATTTGTTTATAGTATCCTCTAGACTTGGCGTACAATAGTCAATTTTGGTCTCATAATGCAGTCAGTAGGCAGTAGGGTGTAGAGAGTGTGACAGTCACTGCTTTAGTCCCCCCATCACACTGCTGTCCAACAATGGAGTAATGCTAAGGGAAAACAACCTTGGGACAATCCAAGCCCCCTTCCCTCTACTTTTCTGTCTTCCACTTTAGGGAAAACCAAGACCAGAATTAACTTGGAAGAAGGATGGTCAAGAAATCGATAAGAATCAAATAAACATTCGTAACTCCGATACTGACACAATCATATTTATCAGAAAAGCAGAGAGGAGCCACTCTGGGAAATATGATCTACAGGTCAAAGTGGAAAAATTCACGGAAAATGCATCCATCGATATCCAGATTGTTGGTAGGTTGGGAAGGAGAATGAGATGTTCTGTCAAGGCTGTTTGTCAAGGACAAATTGTCCTTGTCATTAAGGCGGGAGTCAGAATTGTCACACTGGCTCCATGCAAAATTCTCTTATTTGGGATTTTAAAAAAATTAGTAACATTTGTAAGTTTTTCAAAATAATTTTCACTGACTAAAAGGACTAATCATGGGAAGCTTAGGGCATATATGTTTTAAAAAATTAATGTATATACTTTTAGTGAAGACTATTTGAACTGCTTTGCAATCCACTCCTCGCTTACTCTGTTTCTTACCTGGTACATAATAAAAAGATTCCAGTATTGAATTCTTGCATAGAAAACATGATAGATACTAGATACAGTTGAACATATTTCTTAAAACACCTAAAATGTATTGATAACATTTTCTTGGAAAATGAAAAAATTTTATTAATATTTGTTAATATAAGTGAGATACTTACCTGTCCAGATAAGGTGAGTTATTACCTTGTCTGGAGTTAGGGGAGTAAAGAGAGGCTCTCTTACAGATGAACCCCTCTCTCTTGAACTTTTCTACTGTTTCAGTGTCAAGAAAATAAATTTAAGAGTAGAACTAAGAGAAGCTATGATGCCTATCATTTTTGTTATTACATTTCAGCACCTTTGTTGAAATTAGAGTTTCTCTTACCAAAGAAGCCACTTCCAATAGCAAACCTTCCCTTGGGTAATAGTTCATGTCCTTTCTACTAAGCACTGTTTTCCCACTGGTAAAAGCTCTTGGTTTTGTTAAGTTGAGAGGTATGTTGAGTTCTGTGCCCCCTGTCAGGCTGGCACCATTCTAGAAGAAGTCCCTGTAACAGTCTACAAGAACTCTGCTTCCTAGGACACAGAGAACATCTTAAAATCTCCTCCTCTAACAAGCTACAGTTTGGGAGGGAAAATGACCTCACAGTGATGCCCTCAATTCATCCTATAGACCGTCCAGGTCCACCCCAACTTGTGAAGATTGAGGATGTCTGGGGAGAGAACGTTGCTCTGTCATGGACACCACCAAAGGATGATGGAAATGCCGCAATTACAGGGTACACGATCCAGAAGGCTGACAAGAAGAGTATGGTACGGTTTGACTTTCTCTGGTCCAGCAGCAGCAAAATCACATTTCATTTGTCTCATTGTGGTTACAGATGCTGTTCTTCATTGAAACTGCTACTCAGTCATACCTTCCATAAACATTTCCATTATGTGTGCTGACTTATTCATTTACTATGTGCTGAGCTCTCTTCTAGCTGCTGGATCAAAAAAAAAATTGATAGCTCCTACTATTAAAGCATTCAGAAAGAAAAGACATTAAAACAAGTGATAAATCTGTATATTAAATGTTGGAACAAAGATGTGCATCAAGTGCTTTGGGCATAAAGGAGAGGGCATAGTTAAGTTTGTCTGGCATCTTAAAAATATACAAGATACACAGATATGGGCCTCCCTGGTGGCGCAGGGGGTTAAGTGTCAGCACTATGAAGCTATTGGCAGTCGCTGCAGCACTAGTTCAATCCCCAGCCGGCCAGGGAGGTAACCCACATGAAGCGGCAGACCTCTCCTATCTCATCCGCTGCTCCCCTCAGCAGTGTATTTCAGACAGTCTTCCAGTTCTGCTCCCCACCCTGTCTGGTGAATATTTCTCCAACTCCCCTGGCACCTCTGGACTACACCCCAGTTCTTATATGTATAAATAATCTTTTTTTTTTTTAAAAAAAAAAAGATAAACAGATAATAATGGTTCCTAACAGTTCCAAGGAAAATCCTTTATGTTTATGGACTTTTTGTCAAGAAATGATTTTCTCAATTAGTGGCACATAACATATGTGATGGAGGATAGCTTTCTACCGACTACAAGAGAAACTTTGAAACCACTAAATTTCTTGATACAGAAAGGAAGAAAATGAAAACAAAAAAAGTATGTAGCTTTAGCTTTTCACTCATTCATTCACCTACTAGGGTGTCAGATGCCATGGAAAAGTCCATCTTTACCACCATGGTGTATTCATTCCAAGTAGAGAGATAGGACGTTAACGGGTAAAATCATAAACATATAATTTAAGGTACCAGGTGCTGTTAGAAACTTAGCCAGGTTAGCAGAAGAGTGTGAGCAAAATGGCAGAGGAGGGAAAGAGTTGGTGGGAGGTGAAATCTGAGCAAAACCTAAGAGAACATAAGTTAATAATATTAGACAAATTTGATTTATGGACAATGTGGATTTTTCTCCTGTGATTTAGCTTCAGCTCTTCCTCAGAATATATGTTGATAGTAAAATTCTATATTTCTTATAGAAAGATAGATAAATGGACAAGTAGGTAGACAGATGACATTGTACAGTTATAAAGAAAATTTAAAGGCACTTGACAGCTTGGGTATATGAATTTAATGTGTACATGAAGATTAAAATGACATGTCAAGTATAAATTATAAAGTAGTAAGCAAATTAAATGCATATTGTTATTATTCTGAATATAAAAATTAGTGCTATTTTTCTTATCTATATTGCTACTTTTTTTTTAGTTAATGAAATATCCCTGTTCTTTATTCTGAATAACAGTTGGAATAGTTGTGCATTTTTAGGTGATTTTCTTCAAATGACTTTTCTCCCTGTTCAGGAATGGTTCACTGTCATTGAGCATTATCACCGAACAAATGCTACCATTACTGAACTGGTCATTGGAAATGAATATTACTTCCGGGTCTTTGCTGAAAACATGTGTGGGCTCAGTGAGAATGCTACAATGACTAAGGAGAGCGCTGTGATTGCCAAGGACGGTGAGTGGGTTGTGGGCTGGACTTCTGGAAACCTTGATTTTTAGTGGCTAAAGGAAGAAAACTGTGGGGCCTCCCTGGTGGTGCAGGGGTTAAAGTCTCAATGCTATCAAGCTATTGCCAGCCACTGCGGCTGGCCAGTGAGCTAACCCACATGGTGCAGCAGACCTCTCCTGTCTCGATCGCTGCTCCCCTCAGCAGTGTATCTCAGTAGATCCACCTGTTCTGCTCCCCACTCTGTCTCTGGTGGATCCTCTCATGCACCGCACCTCTGCCCTATACCCCAGTTCATAAATGCATATATAAATAAAAATAAATCTCAAAAAAATAAAGGAAGAAAACTGAAAGATGAGGTGAAAAAGAATTTATAAAATAAGCACAAATTTTAAAATTATGGTAAAAATACCCGTGAAATTTAATTTTATATGTAAAGTTTAGAAGGAAAATTATACTATTATTGTGTTTTTTTAAATACAAGTTTTAGGGCCTCCCTGGTGACTCAAGGGGTTAAGTCTCAGCACTATAAAGCTATTAGCAGCCACTGCAACACAAGTTCCATCCCTGGCCAGGGAACTGACCCACATGGCGCAGCAGACCTCTCCTGTCTCGTCTGCTGCTCCTCAGCAGTGCATTTCAGTCAGTTTGCCTGTTCTGCTCCCCACTCTGTCCCTGGTGAATCCTTTCACCCCCAACCCCTGCACCTCTGGCCTACACCCCAGCTCTTGTATGCATAAATAAATATTTTAAAAAGTACAAGTTTTAATTCATTCCAACTGCTGGTCTGTAAGTGACTGAAATCTCAGGGAGAGGAAAAAGTAGGCATGTCTTTCTGGAAATTCTGTTACCTTTATTCTTATACCCTGAGCTATTGGCTCTTCCCTTGTACCCTTCAGAGTGAATGCTGGGTGGTCCTTACTCATGCTTTCACATGTTTTTCTAAGCTCAGGGAGATTTGAATAGTGAGTAAAGTTAGCCAACAATAATGTTTCCAGGCCAACATATATTTCTTATGCTTGTTTTTAAGGGAAAGTCTACAAAAATCCAGTGTACGATGACTTCGATTTCACAGAGGCACCCATGTTTACTCAGCCTTTGGTTAACACCTATGCCATCGCTGGTTACAATGCCACCCTTAACTGCAGTGTGAGAGGAAATCCTAAGGTACCTTGTCTTTTTTGATCATGTTAGTTGAATGTGAGCATTCACCCCAAAGTCCTTCTTTTGTAGTTGTCATATTATAATAGCAAGTAGTAATAGCCACTGGCCTCCCAGCTGCTCTGGTAGCTTTTTCTGGGACCCAGAGTTGAGTACAGCATGATGGTGCCAGAGAACAATGACATACACTATTTAAATAGCATAGTAAAAAATGTTTATATTTCTTTACTAATGAAGGAGCATCTTCTGAGAAAACCCCAAACTACTTATATTTAAAAAGAACTGAGTGGTAAAGGAAATGGGAGAAATATTATTTTACCTGCACAATTAGGGGCCTATATTAGTTCAGCAAGTTTTCTGTACTAGAGTAAATCAAATGAGGATAGGAGAACATGAGGCAGAATATTAAAATTGCTGTGATGAGGGGACAGAGTACAAAGAAGAGAGAAGTGATTTAGAAAGGTGCTAAAGTTTCTTGTTGCCATTTGAAAAGAACAATTACGAAATGCTGCACTGGAGATGTCTACACTATAGAGACATGGAGGAAAAGTGCCCTAGATTTTGGAAAAATTGCAAACAGTGGTGTCTTCTGCATATACTATGATCAGAAATAGAGAAGCCAAACTGAGGACAGCAGGATGATGCTGAATCATGTTTGGCTGGAAGTTTAATGGGTTGTACATCCAAGTGAGGATAACAAGGACAGAGAGGAAATGGTCTCCAGAGCTTAGGAGAAAGGCCAAGCCTGTGACTTTTAGTTTGAGGGTCCCACGTATGGGGGTCCAGCCATCCATTCCTTGAAACTGGAGCTCCAGAAAGGGCAGTCATTGGGGGGTAGTGAGTGCAAAGCCCATGACCAAGACGTGAGCCTTAGAGCCTTAGTGAATGCTCATACTTGAAAAGGGGAGTATGGGTATGAAGAGGAGGCAGAAGCATGTCTCTAGGGTCTGAGCAAGACAAAATCATGTGAGGTGGAAGAGAAGGAAGGAGAAGATAACATGAAGGAGTGAAGTGTCAATCGTGTAGTTCAGGGGTCCAGGAGATGGTGTCACGTTGCTGGGTGACTGGTCATAACTGACCTTGCATTATGAGGTTGTATAGATTCATTTCCACCAGATGATGAATACAGAGGTCTGAGAAGAGAGTCAATGGTGGGGCAGCAAACACAGCCCCTGGGGATTAGAAAAAGTCATGAGGAAAACGAAGTGGAGCAAATCAGAGGGTCTGACCCTTTATGAGAGTCCTCTGAAAAATGCCCACAATGTACATTCTCTGGGAGGAGTTCACATCATGAACCTTAGGTCACATTTAAATGCCACTGAATCTGTTTGGGGAGATTGCCCCAGACCTGTCCTCTCAACAAATCTGGCTTGCTTCTTCAGCACTGCTCATTTGTGTTCTTGCCAAGCACTAAGCAGAATTTAGTTTGAAAGAGTGCTCAAGTGGATGTGGATTCTTCTTAGATGTACTTTCTTCCTGAGTCATGCTTTAAAATTCCATCTCTCGCTTTGAAGGTCTATTAATATGCTAGGTACACATGTTTTGTCCTAATTTACTTCCAATCTAAACTTCAGCCCAAAATAACCTGGATGAAAAACAAAGTTGCTATCGTGGACGACCCAAGATACAGGATGTTCAGCAACCAAGGGGTCTGTACTCTGGAGATCCGCAAGCCCAGCCCCTATGATGGAGGCACTTACTGCTGTAAAGCCGTCAATGACCTTGGGACAGTGGAGATCGAGTGCAAACTGGAGGTGAAAGGTATGGCATCCAATATCTCGTGCATAGACTAAAATGAAAAGCGTTGTTTAATCATTGTCCTTACTGCAGAAGCAAAATTTGGCCAAAAATGTTTTGGGGTGGGGCAGGTAGTGGGGAGAGAATTTGGGAAGAGGAAATATTTTTACATTCTGCATTCACTCTGATTTATTTCTGGAAGACTACTTGATTATTTAAGTTGACTTTTGTCCGTCTCTTACCATTCTTGTTAAGTAAAGGGATTTCTTTTCACTGGGGTGCTAGTATGTACCCATGCATGAGAATTAATAAAGTCAGTAGGTATTACTTTGGTAGTTTAGTTCATTTATAAATAGAAGTCTAGCGTGAAAACCTATCTAATGAAATTTCAATTAAGGAATTCACATTATTTTTAATTAGTTCATTATTTTGTGACACTTCCAATATTCTTTATATATGTTTGTTATCTTCTTGTTTAATGTTACATATAACATCCACATATAACCAGTGGTTTTTAAGATCTACTGGAGAATTTCTATTTATAGGAATGTATTTCATCTGTTCTAGTTCTCAGAAATGTTGTAACTAATGTAAATCAAGAAAATACATCAGGATTTGTGTGATAGAAAAGCCTCAGCTTAATAACCTGCCCTAGTCTTAATCAATTTTCATATTATTTGAGTATAGTTTTTATACTGAAGTTGTTTCTTGACAAAACCTACTTTGGGATACCATGAAAACTACATCTGTCAGAGTCACCATTACAAGATAATAGGTGACATGACCCTAATATCTTTTCTCTAATTCTTACTGTGTAATATTGCCACTCTATGGTCACTGAACGCTTTCTTTCCCCTATCTCTCTATAATAAAGAAATTATGATCTATAAGTCAGAAAGAGAGCTTTGTAAATATTTTAAAAAGAACATAGTAAGTGCTTAGGGTACTTATGTTAAATTTCAAAAGTTTTTAGTCCCAAATGTATGATAAGTATCATAGAGAAATTGCTTGGAAAAAATTTCCTTTTATAACTTTAAAAATTAGTTTTCTTTTTCTTACGATTTCTGTCCAATTTCAGGTAATATAGTATAACAGGTTTGTAACTGAATCATAGAAAAAACATTTTTTTAATTGTTTTAGAAAATTTCAAATCCTTCTATTGAAATATTTCTTACAAATGTAAACATTATTATTTTAGCTATGTATTAATGCACATCAAGGTCATAATTGCAAATATATTACAGATGATATAGTCTTTATTGTAGTGATATAGTAAATCATAGAGTAATTGAATTTAACAATATAAATAATGCAGTCCAGTATAAGTTCATAGTAAAGTATCAATTGTAATATATTGGTTAAAGCTTTTGATACTAAAATAAAACCAAGATTGTTTTATCATCAGATTGTTATCTGATAATAGGTGATTTAAGTTAAGCTGTGAAAAAAAAGGTAAGAATGTCAACTGAGAATAAATAAATACTGGTACAAATATTCTAATTCTGCAGTGATATTTCAAGGAGTAAATACCCCTGGACAACCAGTCTTCCTGGAGGGGCAGCAACAGGTTTTAAAAGTTCATGTTCCACTGGATATTTCTACTTTCTGTTCCATTCCTCTTACATGAAATCGCACTTTGCATGTAAAGCTTGACTTTCTCATTTGCTTTTAATTGTATTTCTTAGCAGCTCATGGCATACAGTGTTTATGCCATGAACTAGGAAGGCCAAATTATTCAAGGGCATTCAGTGTATTACAGGATCGAAGCTTTGTTAGAAAACTTAAGTACCACCCCACAGGTCCCCATAATAAAGCCAGAAAACTTTGTTTGAAGAATACCTTATTTTAGATATAGAATTATAAAACTGTGGCAATTAATCCCATTTCTTCAATATTTTCATTTTATTTTGAACGTAGAGATGTAAACTCTACAATAAGAATGTAAACTGTTTTTAACGGAGTTTCTGAGTAGGCTCCTTAAATTTGTGCTTGAAATTCAGAAAACTGAACATTTTAAAAATTGCAAAGTTGTAGAAAAAATGTTCTGGGCATTTTTGATGGGGTGAGTATACAAAAATAGGTCCAATACTTGAAGACTTGCATATTTCATATTTTACAATGAAAAATTCACCAGTAGAATAGCTGTTACCCATATTTCTGTTAGGCATTTGGGTATTTTCATGGGACCAAAATTATTTCAGTTGGGCATGAACTTGAAAGAAAATTCTAGGCCCCGCTACTAAATGTATAAGCAGCAGATGAGTCTGTCCTGTTATAAGAGTATATTTTGCCCCCATTTGAAAGAGTGTAGTAGGCAGTTCTTTAGGGCTGATAGCAATCTGATATAAACTTTAATAAGGTAGGTCTATGCCTGAGTTTACAATATTTGCTCTTTGAAATCCCAGAGGTAAGGTCAATTTTGAAAAGAGGAAGCATTAGAGCTCACTCTTGAAAGTTGTGCAAGTTATACTTTCTAGCCTAAGTTTGTTTAAGCTTTGTATTTATTTAGATCAGTCATGTGTAATCAGTTTGGAATACAATATTATAGAATACACTAGTCTAATAGTTCTATCTACTTGATAATTTTGCCTTTTAGAATGTCAACATATATATATGTACCCTAACACTTTGTCTATTGTTTACGTTTTTCTTTTGTTGAAAAACACAATATATATATGTTGTAGGTTGTTGTTTCCTTAAGCTAATGGTTTGGAAGCTCGTATCATAAATATTCACCGTACAATCAAACTGACGTTGCCACCTGTTCAGGCAATGTGGTTATGCGTGTTAATAAATGTTTTACATATTAATGATCCTTTTGAAGTGATTGGGTCCCTGCCCTTCATTCCATTTGCTTCTATTTTCCTTTATCTTTCACATGACTAAGGATTAATGAAGTCATCTCATAAGGTGACCATAATTTCATCCAACAAGTACTCAACTTTAGTTTTAGCACTTTATTAATGCTTACCACTTCTTTCTTTCTCTCCTTTTTCCTTAGTTGTAGCACAATAAGGATTTTTGAATGTATATTATCACCTAAGGTAAGCTTTCATATGGTTTTGGCATATGAAGCTTATGACTGTCATAAGCCATACAAAGCCTGCAGAGTATGGCGTGATTTTCATTATGCAATCCAATGAAAATAGATTACTTAAAATCTCTAACTTTGCAGTTTTCATTTTAGTTCCATATCTTGACATTAACAGCTAGTACTTATTCATCCCAGCAATCTCCTGTTGACATGCAGCCAGTTGTTGAATGCAGTAGAGCATGAATTAAAGCATTTAAGTAGATGAAAATTAGTGATCCCCAAGCTTTCTGAGTTCTTTGCATCAAGGAATGGACATGTATATAAGTGGCATCATTTCTAGCAATATCTGACTTGGATCTTTTTCTAAAAAAGGAGAATGATTTTCCCAAACTTGCATTCAAGAAGTTTTAAGAATGTTCAAATGGCATGCTGTTTTTGTCCGACTGTGGATTTATTAGCAAGTAGTGAAGCACTTCTCTGAAGGACTGTGAAGTTTTATGGTTTTGTGGGGTCTCTTGTGATGGTCACTTTTAATTTTTTAACATAATTCTGAAACACAGAAGGTAAGTACAAAATTTTAATAGGTATTCCTTCATCTTTTACACTTTGACATTGCATAAATAACCACGTTAAAGGAGTAGTCTCTCTTTTCTTCTCCAGTGTGCTTGAATTGGAACTCTTCATGCTTAATTAAAAGGAACATTAACAAACTAGAAGCTGATTCATTACGTGGTATTCCATTCAGTCAGAACACATACAACATCCACAGAGGACTCCACAAACTCTCAGAGAGCAATGCAGCCTTTCCAGCTAGGAATTTCAATTAATACTGAATAATGAGTGTCTGGGTCTAGCAGGAACATGCTTTTTCCTTCTAGATGGCAGGTGCTTGAAATTCTCAATGTACTAAACCCAGGAGAAGAATTCCAAGTAGGAAGTGAATGAATCTTTGTAACTAATTTGAACGTAATTAGTCTCATTTCCTGGCAGCTAGTCCAAAAGTATTATTTCAACCATTTTTCATGTTTATGGTGTTGACTTGGCCTTTTCCTTCTTGTCCTCCTTAGGTGGTCTTTCCTTCTGCAGGCTCCTCTTGCAAGGCGTGCCTCCTAACATAGTCGATTCTTATTTGCGAGACTTGCAATCAAGCAATCCTGAGGAATACTAAGGGCCTGGCTGCTGCCTCTCTACACTGCAGTGCCTTGAAATCTGGTTGCAGTGAGAAAGCGTTTTCTGTTCCCACCAGGCACCCAAATGTGGTCACTTTATTTCCTCCTAATGTTGAAGAAAAAAAATGTTTTCACGGATTGCTTCATTAAAAATCGCAAACAAAATCTCATTGGAAGCCAGCATTTTCATCGTTATTGTCTGTGCTTGGTCTCTGTGCATGACAAAAAAACAGTTATTGAATAAGCAAAACAGTTGTTTTAGCTTAAAATAATAAACTATCAATGCTCCCCCACCACCCCAGAGTAAGAAACATACTACGCTACTTACTACGGATCTTGAATATCCGTCTTTCTCTTGATCTAAGAGATTTTTCTAAGCAAAGCAGTGGTTCAGATCACACTATCCTGCTGAGCTCCTGTGGATCTGTGTCCTCTCCCCATTTGAATTCACTCAAGGACATCTTAAAACTTTTCAGGCAAGTTTTTTCAACAGAAGGAAAAATAATTGGAACAGTAAGTAAGAAGTGTTTATAATGGCATGACCGAGGATTTTTTGATGTGTCTGGGGTTAGGGGCTTGGACACTAAATGGAGGCCAAAAGGCGGGGACTCGGGATGCCACCTCTGTCTCTAGCACAGCATCTTGGCCAGATCCACCAGTGCTCCTGCCAGGACTGCTGGCATAGTGATGGTCCTGCTGCAGACCAGCAAGAGAAACAGATGTAGGGGCTGCTGGTGGCATCCATTTAAATTGATGGAAACCTTTTTCAAAATTTAGAAGCTGAGAGGCATTCATGCAAGGTCCCAACTTTTCAGTGACTTCCTGATGCTATAGAGAAAATTTCAGTTAATGGAGCAGTGTAGAAGCATAAGTAAGGTGCCATACTATTATTCTTTATCCTCTCCCCACCTTTTTAAAAATTCCTTTTGTTTTTTTGGTCAAGAAGCTAAATAGATCGTCACCTGTGACCTGTCGCTGGGCTCACAGTAGCCCGGAGCAGCATTTTTAAGTATCTGCTCTGCCTCCTTTGCAGATCAGAGCTGGGAAGTTGCGATGGTAGCTGTGCACCTGGGCTGACGTGGGGCATATCAAGGCAAAGAGTGGGTGACCCTGGTCCCAGTGTGATTGTGGTACATTGGGAGCATCAAAACAAAACTCAAGTTCTTGTCCCAACTATGTGGATGCTGCACTATTCTGGCTGGTGATGCTTTTGCCTTGCTGTTTTTGAAGAAATTGACGTTCACTGTGTGTTTCCAATCACTCTGAAGAATAATGTGTGCAATCCCTATGTAAACACCCATTTTGATCAGGAAATCTTTTTACACATTACTGGCTGAGATACGTTACATCTAGTTCATCTATAAAATGTGAAGACCATAGCTCTGTGTGCAAAGCAGATAAACCACAAAGTGGCAAAAGCCAATCTGTGTGGCCCCTGTCGCTAAGCTAGTTGCTCAACTCAATACTCATTGACCAGTTTTGTCAAGTCACAGTCAACTTTGTTAAGCCATTTGCAAAGATTGCCTAAAAGTGACTAAAATAATCCTTACAAGATATTGGTTCCCCAGTCATGGAGACTATATTTTGTGCTCTGATTATATTTTGTATTAGTCATTTTTCTACATATGATCTCTCCTTATTATGTGTACTCAAATGCTGAAATGCTCCATTAAGGAGGAAAAAAATCTGTTTTGAATCTACAAAGCTCAGATAACATCAGACGCTGTCATGGCTGTTAGTTTTGCTACAATTTTGTTTATATTTCATTCTATTGAAGAAAAATTATATATCATAGGAATTAACCAAAAATTCTTTCGGGGAGCTAAACATTCATTCAACTTTTAAAAGAATCATCCTTTTTTATTTATGTTTAAAAAAAAAACAGTGAATGTTTTCATCTGCATGAATACAGAAGTTAGAACAAAACCTACTAGCTACAAGAAACACTGAAGAGTAATAGATTCTTAACCAATCATTTTTTTTTTCTAGATTTATTTATTTATTTATTTATTTATACAAGCACTGGGTACAGTCAGAAGCGCGGGAGAGTGAGAGAATTCACCAGAGCCAGAGCGGGGAGCAGAGCAGGCAGAAGGACCGAAGTACACTGCTGAGGGGAGCAGCGGGCGGCAGGAGAGGTCTGCGCGCCATGCGGGACCCTCGCTGGTGGCCGGGAAGCAGCTGGGGATCGAACTGGCGCTGCAGAGGCTGCGGGCAGCTTCGCAACCCAGCTCTCAACCGCTGCGCCACCGGGGAGGCCCTTAACCAATCATTTTTAAGTCGAATTCTAAAACATTCTATTTGTCTCAACAAATGAGTTAGTAAGTGTCTGATGTGGCTAAGGCCCTGTGATGGATTCATAGGAACCCAATGATGATGAATAAGACATTTCGTGCCTTCAAGGAACTAATATTGTATAGCAGGTCTACACAGGAGAAACTCCTGTTTGGGAGTCCTATCTTAGCCTAAATCAACTGGGAATCTTTTCCAGTGCCAACAAAATCGAGAGAAGAGAGCTCCTCTGCTCTTCAGTCTATCCTGGTGACTGCAGAGATGCCTGGTTCAGCCGTGTCTAGTCCACGCAAAGACAGGTGACTCTGAAACTTCCTGGACAAGTGCAGACTGGGGTTTGCAAAGAACAGGGAACTCGGAGACTGGCAGTGGGTCATGCTATTTGGAAAGTATCTCTGAAGAATCTGATAAAACTGAACTTCTGGGTTATTACGAGGTTATCTTCATAAAGACTGAAGGGCACAACTGTTTCATGAGCCATCCATTAACTTGACTTAGAACTTCTAAATATCTATAGATATAAGGTACAAAAGTTAGGGGTCAGCCAGTCCCACTACCTCTGTTCTCTCAACCTTCTCCTCTTCCACCCAACTTCACTCTGACCTCTGTGCTGCCATCACTTCCCCCTGCTTCCAACTCACCAGCCTCTAGGCCTGACCCTCATCTCCTTTCTCAAGGACACTCGCCCTCTGAATAGAGTTCTAGAAATGTAAATTTGGTCTCTTTTTCCTTGAACTAGGAGTAGAATAAGGAACTCTGAAACCTGACAGTCTCCCTACCAATTATCCCTATAAAATTAATTGATTATAAGTTGAACTTAATTTAGTTAGGCCATTAGTTACCATCCCCTTGTACCAAAGACTCAAGTGATTGCTACATGGTGATATTTATAAGATTGGTAATTCAACTTGGGCGACATAGAATGGACCAGAGAAACAAAACTGCTTGGAACAACTGGTTCGCCTGAATCTAAAGACCACCACCACCCTCTTAAAACCATCTGTTGATCTCTCTGTGTGTCCCTAAATGCACTGGCCTGAGTAATCTCTGGCCTCACTGAATATTCTTCTTCTATCCGGAGTTGATTGAGATAAAATACCAGAGAAGCACAGGGCAATTCAACCCTCCCGGAGGGTCACTCAGAGTGACTAGTTGACTCAAGTCATTGAAAGGAAAACACTTTGCCCTCAAGTGCATAATTGACCATAACTTCTATTACTCCCAGGCAATAGCTTCAGAAAGAACCTGTTCTTTATGCACTTACACATTTACCCACAGGCAAGGGATTCCCTCCTTCTATTCCTCTACTCTCACCTTCATCCTAGTCTTAGAGACCAAGGAACCATCTTAATGCCATTATATGCCAATTTTAAATGTTGGTTTAAAAATTTTTAAGTTGATTAAAAAAAAGTTAGGAAAAAGAACTAGAGTTTCCAGCAACACTGATGCAAGGAAAAGAACCATTATTCAGATTTTGTAAGGCATTCCTCTTGGACAACTGGGACAAGGGGTAATTGGGAGGGAGCCATGTTTCAAGAGAAGCCGGAGTTGATTTGAAGTCATGTGGTCACTTGGAAAATTCCAGGCCCCAGGAAGCCAAACATTGTAACCTGTGAAAGACATGGGACAAAGTGATGTAGTGCTGCTCACCCCAGCTTCACCCCTGAGAGCCCACTGGGGGTCATTATAGATCCAGTTCCCATCCCTGTGCTGGGAGGTCCCACTGATCTGGAGGCCGGTGAGGCAAGAGTGTGGGTTGCCATGAAGAGGCAGAGCCTCTCTGTGCATGGGTATTTTTTAATCAGTTCTTAATAGTGCAGATAGGACTCCATAAGCATCAGCTGGTGGTAGAAGTAGGTGCTTGCTGGTGAGATTAGTGGCTCGCTGGGTCTTGCTGTGATTGTGGAGTCCTGCTAGTGGCAATCATGACTCAAAAGTCTGCCTTCAGTGGCTCCACTCCCTGAAGAAGTTAAGCAAGAGTGGTGGACAGATGGGGAGAGAGTAGGGCTCGGTGAAGGCCAAGAGCAAGGAGAAACATCAAGCAGGAGGGAGGAAAAGCAGACAAGTATGTTGTTTGTGCAGAGGGAAGGGCAGTTAAGAACAGTCAGAAGGAAATGAAGCCAGAATAACCTTACCAGGCAAGGAACTCAAGAAAGGAGGAAGCAGCAGCAGCAAATCAACAATAAAAAGCAAAAGCACATATGCTGCACAGGCATGATCAGCCATTGGGTCATTGACCCATTCTACCACAGCTGCATCCCTCTTTGCAGAAGAGAGGGCAGCCTTGAACAGATTGTGGCCGGGCACAGAGCCTGAAGCCAGTGCCCCAACCCCTCTTGTGTTTATTCATTAAAGCTACACATGCATTATTATGTATCCATGATGCCTAATTTTATTTTCATAGAAAGCAAATTTTTCTTTCCAGATCTTCTGATGGATACTGTTCCAGAAATATTGTCAGGGAGCTAAAGGTATCCAAGTCTGGGCGGCACAGCATAATCTTAGAAAATCCTCACCAAAAAGCAACACCCTCACCAAACACCAAGTAGATCTCACTTACACTGAAGATATTATTATGAAAGCTATATACCTATGTATTTTAAAGATATGTAGATAATAAAAACTTAAATATCCATCCATCTAGCCATCTATTTATCTGTACACCCATCTACCCACCCATGCATCCATCTATCCATCCACCCGTCCATCCTGCCCTCCTTTGCCCTGGAAAGAACCACCTTAAATCAGTATTAAGTGAATCAAGGTGGACTCTCTCACTCTTTAATTGCCCTCTGACTTCTTCCCTCTTTTCTCTGCCTCATCCCCTTTCTCCTTAGGATTCAAAGGGCTTGCACAGAGTAAGGCCTCCACCACACCTTCTAGACTCTAGGCGTCAGTCCCCGTTCGGCAGACTAGCATCACCTGGGAGCTTGTTAAGATTCAGATTCTCAGCTCCTCTCTCTCCAGAGCTACTAACTGAAACCCTGCATTTTTAGCAGGATGCCTCCAGAAAGAGGGCAGCCCCACCCTCTTTCTCTGTAGTTCTTTGCATGAATATTTATTTGGGGCATTCTCTCTGAGCTTCCCAAGTGAAATGTTCTGATGAAAGTACCCCTCCTAAGGTTTTCTTTTTTTTTTTTAATTCTTATGGATTGTTTAATTCTTTTTTTTCAATAAATTTTATTTTTATATTCCCCATACAATTGCAACCCCCCCATTCTGACCCCAATCCCTCCCCTCCCGCCCCCCACCCCCCAAAAAGTGTCTCTGGTTCATAGTTTTTTGTTGATTTTGATTTTCACTTTCTTATAGTTATTCATTTTCCAGGTCCCTTATTTAAGTTTTCTAGATTCCTGCTATGAGTGAGACCATCCGGTATTTTTCTTTTTCTTTCTGGCTTATTTCTCTGAGCATGATCCCTTCCAGCACCATCCATGTTGCTGCAAATTGCATGTGTTTATCTTTTTTGAATGCTGAGGTTTTCTTGATAACCTACTCTAACATGGAAATGTGATCTCACCTGTTACTCCTTGAAGCCCTAACCGTAGACAAGAACAACTCTTTGTGGGATTGGAACACCCCAGATGCTGAAGGAGTTTTTGAGGAAAGCGGATTCCTTCTAGTGCTCCTTAAATCATGTAATGGAAAACACTTTAAAGCAGTAGGATATGAACTCAGAAGCGGCTAATAAAAAGTGGTTAAAGGAGAGAGACAAGACAGGGTGCTAAGAACTGGGTCTGAGGAAAATCAGTTCCTTTAAGTTGCTTTCACAATTTCAGATAAAAAGCACAATTACAACATCTCAGGAATTCTATTTTGAAATATTGTTTTCTGATCTTGTCCAGGAAATCAAGCATTTCTAGAGAGGAGAGCAAAGGTTTTCATCAACCTGTTATTGAACACTGCCGGTCTGCTCCTGTATTTTGTTAAGCACCATAGTCCCATACAATTTGGACTTTAGAGTCTCGAAGGACAAAAGTATAAAAACATAAATTAAGTCAAAGGAAGTATATGAAGAAGGCAAGTGTTTACACCAGAGGACTCTACTAGTCTTTGTAAATACTCCGACCTCAGTACTAGGGCTTAAAGCTCTAAGCCCTTATACAGCTCTACCACCCCAAGTCTAGCCAGCTGCACCCCATGCCTTTTTCCAAATTGAAATCAATGAAAGTCAGTGGCTATTGGAAGTGGTTATTTCACATACAACTGTATCTCGTCTGGTTCTATGAGACTATGGAGTATTTTGTGGGAAGCTGCTCCAGATGTTGAGGAAAAAAACCTGAAATGTGAGTGAAAGTTACACAAGAAGAACCAGTAGAAAGCCGTGATGTCCTTTCTCCTTTGGGAAATGAATTCAATTCAGCTAAATAATCGGACATATGTGGGAGCCTCGACTGCGCATGTGGCCTAGGAGACAAGTATCAGAACATTCACAGCACCTTTGTACAATCATCAGAAGTTGTAAATAACCTAATGTCCAATACTGAATGGATAAATCAACTGCTATTTTCAGGTACTTTAATGTTATTATATAGCAAGTTTAATATAGTAGTGCAAAATGAATAGACTCGCTCCACTTTTTAATATAGATGAATTACAAAAGCATAACGCTGTGTGAAAAAAAAAAGCAGATCATAGGATAAAAGCACACAATGTTATTGCATTTGTATGAAGTTCAAAAACATGCAAGTTTGCATTTAAGAATCTGTGTGTGTGTGTGTGTATGGCAAAGCTGGGAAGAAAAGGAAACCATTTTTTGATGAATACAATTCTCAAGAATGGTTCCTCCTCACAGAGAGGGAGATAGGATTCTAGAATGGTACACAGATGGTATCAAAAATATTGGTAATTATATTATTTAGGCTACAAAGCTACAGCTCCATAAATAAGATAGACATTTTATCTTTCTTTCACCAAATGTCTGAGTAGGCCATCCAGGACTGAACGAACACAGTAGTTATGAGTCTGTCCTATGTCAGGCACTATTCTAAGCATCAGGCATTATTTTGTTTCATTTTCACAAAAATACTGTGAAGTAGGTACCTTCATTACCCTTTGTAGATGAGAAAATTGGAGCACAATGAAGTTCAATAACTTGCCCGTGACTGATTGCAAAGCTGAAGTAGAAGTGAAAGCAGGATTTGAGACCCAAGAGATAGCAGGTCCACGCCAGAGAGAGGATGTGGTGCAGAAAGATGAAGAGGGTCCGATGACCCTGGAAACATCGTACACTAGTCCTGGGCTAATCCGAGACTGCTTTCATGGGAGGGGTTAACACTCTTCCATTTCAGTTTACATCACCATGTTTTCAGGGTTTTGCTATAAGTATCCCAACATAAGCCAGCTCGATTGTTTTTCTGCTTCTCATTATTTTGAGGAGTTCTTTACATAATCCAGTTAGCATCAAATGCAGATTTTGAGGGAAAAAAACCTTTCCCCAATTTATGGCTTTTCTCTTCATTCTCCTTCTGATGCCTTTCGATGTGCCTTAGCATTTATCTGTAATAGATAAATTTATTGATCTGGAAAAGAATTTTTCTTTGGATTATTCATGGCATGGATAAGTAAAAAAGTAGATATATCCAAGTTTATTTACCACACATAAACCCAACATAATCAATAGCTTGTCTCCTTGTTACGTGGATTTCTTTCCTGCATTTTTCAGTTTTACTTTTCACACTGAAGATTAGGAGATGTCTACTCGATGAATGGTTTGGTCTGTGGATACCCTCAACTTGCTTGAAGGCAGTGTTGCCAAGTGTTTTTCTTTTTTTTGGGAAGGGGCCGGACAGTAAATATTCTAGTTTTTGTAGGCCACGTGGTCTGTGCTGAAACCACAGAATGCAAACCTGGGAGCATGGAAACAGCCATAAACAATAATTAAGGCACAAATATGTCTATTCATGTTGCTGAAATATGAATTTCACATCATAAAAAGTCTCCCCCCCATCATTAAAAACATAAAAACCATACTTAGCTCGTGGACTGTATGAAAGCAGGAGAAGGGCTGGTGGCAGTTTGCTGGCCCAGCTCCGGAATGGTGACAAACTGCCTGTGCTGAGGGACAGCGATCTCGAAAGCAGTTTTTGAGCTTGTTCTGGGTCTTTGAATATTACACAAAGCTCGTATTCCCGCACTGCAGGAAAGAGCAAGTGGCAGGCTTATCTCCAGTTGTGCACAATGACATGCTTATGACAGGCCGTCCCTTGTCTGAATGGTGCATTGTGAGGTAAGGGGACTGCGCCCTCTGTGGCAGGTCCCCCAGTTCCAGAGGAGGGAGGGCATGTGTGGGAACACACTGTGTGTGGGGTGTCAGATGCTCTGAAAAATGGGCATTTGGGTTTCAACCATTTGAGTTTCAACCATTTCGACCATCTCAACCTTGTGAGACAGGGTTTCCAAGACTGTCTTATTTGAGTCTGAACCTGCAATGAGGTTTCTCTGGAGTTAACACAGGCCAGGACGCCTCTCCTCAGGAGGGCAGAATTGTGCTCAGTCAGGACTTGGGCTTTGGACAAATGAGACCATCACGTCAGTGACCCAGGACGTGCACAATCACACACCCACACACCTACACACACCAGGTTCTGCGGGCAGCTGTCCTGCTGGCGTTTGCTCAAGGCCAGAGCACATGTACGGGACACGGAGCTACACACCGGGTTAGAGCAACTAGTGTCAGCCTCTGTGAGAGCAACTAGTTGTCAGCCCTGTTAGAGCAACTAGTTGTCAGCCCTGTTAGAACAACTAGTTGTCAGCCACTGTTAGAGAAACTAGTTGTCAGCCCCGTTAGAGCAACTAGTTGTCAGCCCTGTTACCGAAACTAGTTGTCAGCCCTGTTACCGAAACTAGTTGTCAGTCCTGTTAGAGCAACTAGTTGTCAGCCCCGTTAGAGCAACTAGTTGTCAGCCCTGTTAGAGCAACTAGTTGTCAGCCCTGTTAGAACAACTAGTTGTCAGCCACTGTTAGAGAAACTAGTTGTCAGCCCCGTTAGAGCAACTAGTTGTCAGCCCTGTTAGAACAACTAGTTGTCAGCCCTGTTAGAGCAACTAGTTGTCAGCCCCGTAACAGAAACTAGTTGTCAGCCCCGTTAGAGCAACTAGTTGTCAGTCACTGTTAGAGCAACTAGTTGTCAGTCACTGTTAGAGCAACGAGTTGTCCGCCCCTGCCGGGCCGGCGACACCTGCCGCGGGAGCGTTTCCGCCCCGGGGGCGAGGCCGGGCCGGGCAGGTGCGCGCCCCTGCGGGGGCCGAGCGCCCGCGCGCCTGTTAGACAAGACAGTGGCCGGGCCCGCCCCTCCCCTGACCCCCGACCCGCGCCCCGCCCCCCCGCCCCGGCCCCGCCCCCCCGCGGCGCGGCGAGCGGGGAGCGGGCGGCCGGGCCAGACCCCCCCGGCGGCGGCGCGGGCGAGCGGCGAGTCCCCGGCGCCCCCCCGGCCGCGAGCCCCGCCCGCCCCCTCCCCTCCCCTCCCCTCCCCTCCCCCGGCCCGGCGGGCCGCGTCTCCCGGCCGGGCGCGGCGGCCATGGCGGCGGACGCGGGGGCCGGGCCCGCGCCGCGCTGGCTGCGCGCGCTGGGGGAGCCGCTGGGCGCGGCGCAGCTGCGGCGGCTGGAGGCGCATCGCTACTGCGCGGCGGGCGCGTCGCTGCTCGAGCCGCCGCTGCAGCGCTACTGGAACTGGCTGCTGCGCTGGGTGCCGCTCTGGGTGGCCCCCAACTCCATCACGCTGCTGGGCCTCGCCGCCAACCTGCTCTCCACGCTCGTGCTCGTCGCCTACTGCCCCACGGCCACCGAGGAGGTAGGGCCGCCGGGGGGCCCCAGCCGCGGAGCCGGGGCGCGCTCGCCGGCGGCGCCCCGGCCGCCCGAGACCCCGGGGGCGGGCGGGCGCCCCGAGACGCCGCCGGGCGGTCACGCCGCGCCCCGGGCCCCGCGGCCGCCCGGCGCCGCCCCCCGGCCCCCCCCGCGGCGGTCAAGGTCACGGCCGGTCCCCGTCCGCGTCCCCGGGGCGCCTCGGCCGCGGCGGGCCCCAGGCCGGCCCCCGCCCGGCCGCCGGCCCCTCGCCCCTCCGGCGGCCGCGGGGTGAGCCGCTCCTTTGCACCCCGGGGCTGACACCCCCAGCTCCCGCCTGCTGGGCGGGAAGGCTGGTGGCCGGGCGGTGCCCTGTAGTCACTTTTGGGGTACCATGGTCTGTTTCTCAAAGGGGGCGCTTAGTGGGTCTCCCGTTACTGGTCGAGCTGATCCGAGATAAAGGCACTTGTGAGAGTTCCTCCTCTTGGCTTTGTTGAGCTTTCCTGAAAAACAAACTAGGCTGCTGTCGAGGTGATCGTGCCGGGGTCGTGAAAGCCCGAGTTATCACTAGCAGTGAGTATTGGATCTTCAAATAACAGGATTCTTAACTCAGGAGTAGCTAGGACTCGGGGCGTCTGCTAAGTAGAAGCGTCGCCTCTTGTTGCGGTGGGTGTGGAGGGGACAGGGGCAGAGCACACAGGAGACATGCCACATGGACAGACTGTGTCACTGCTTCCTTTTCTGTGTCCTCTGAGTAGTGAAATCCCTCCAAAATCATTTTTGGGAATAGATCTTGTAGAGGACTTGCGGGGTGGAGGAGGTTGAACGCAGTGTAAATATGCATTTAGAAAATATTGAATAATATTGAAATATTGAATAATATAATATTACAATTATAATAATTCTGCATTATAATAATAATTCTGCATTATAATAATTATAATAATATAAAATATTGAATAATATTGACATGCTATGTCACTGCTTCCTTTTCTGTGTCCTCTGAGTAGTGAAATCCCTTCAAAATCATTTTTGGGACTAGGTCTTGTAGAGGACTTGCGGGGTGGAGGAGGTTGAACGCAGTGTAAATATGCATTTAGAAAATATTGAATAATATTGAAATATTGAATAATATAATATTACAATTATAATAATTCTGCATTATAATAATAATTCTGCATTATAATAATTATAATAATATAAAATATTGAATAATATTGACATGCTATGTCACTGCTTCCTTTTCTGTGTCCTCTGAGTAGTGAAATCCCTTCAAAATCATTTTTGGGACTAGGTCTTGTAGAGAACTTGCGGGGTGGAGGAGGTTGAACGCAGTGTAAATATGCATTTAGAAAATATTGAATAATATTGAAATATTGAATAATATAATAATAATATTACAATTATAATAATTCTGCATTATAATAAGAATTCTGCATTATAATAAGAATTATAATAATATAAAATATTGAATAATATTGACATGCTATGTCACTGCTTCCTTTTCTGTGTCCTCTGAGTAGTGAAATCCCCTTCAAAATCATTTTTGGGAATAGGTCTTGTAGAGAACTTGCGGAGTGGAGAAGGTTGAACGCAGTGTAAATATGCATTTAGAAAATATTGAATGGGACCTGATTTTAAATATATCTTGCCAGGAGATGGATGTGTTTGTTCTATATGATTTCTACGCAGACATTCCCATTGTTACTCGCTTCTGGATTGTCAGGAAAACGTGCTTAAGTTTGTGTTTTTGCAGGCTGTTTGCAGAATTTCCTCGTGTGTGTGGTATGAAAAGAGCACTCTTTAGAGGGGCAGGCTGTGCCACATAGTAGAGAGAGAGACCTCTTGGCTCTTTGCCCGCGTGTAAAACAGAAAATGATAACCGCCAAGCCAGTCTCACAAGGATGCAGTGAGGACTGAGGGATCTATATCACCTGCAGATAGATGGAGAGAATGAGAATTTGCTCACCACATTAAAAATATTACTCAATGCATTAAAATTATTGCTGCTATTTAAGATGTCCTGAAAACATGTAATTTAATATTTGTTGGACCTAGATTTGGCCAACAGCATTTGGGTGTTTCTGACATTTGCCAGTTTATGTGTGAGCTCTTCAATGTTATTATTAGTTTAAGAAGTCGAGCACTTACAAAGAGCAGGGCATATAAACAAGTAGAAGAGGTTCTGTTTAGGGGCGTCAAATGGGCCAGGTGGAAAAGATGAAATTATTAAGTAGCGTTTAGGCTCAGCCTCATTTAAAACAAGAAGAGGAGAGGGTTGGGATCTGAGACACATGAAAAAAAGTGAAAAAATCAGTATAACCCCAAAAGGTGAGAATAAAAATTAAAATAATAAGATGAAAGTGTAAAGAGTTTCTGAAATGTAAAGATCTTGGAGACGAAACGGCATAATTAGCGTGTGTGTGTGTGTGTGTGTGTGTGTGTGTGTGTGTGTTGACGCAGTGCCGGGAAACACCATTACAGGGTTCACATTGCCTGTTTGATAAAATCCCAGAGTCAGTATGAAAGAAGCATAACAACTTGGGACTGTTTTGCTTTCCGGTCACAGAGCTAGCAAATGACAGAACCAGCCAGGATTCGGAGCCCAGTCAGTGTGACTCCAAAACCATATTCTTTTTAACACAATCACCACCTTCGAACCTGAAGTTTCTGCCGCTCTCTGTGGCTTGTGTATTGTTCTTACCAAGTATGTAAAAATGCAATCAGCCTTTCGTTGCATTTGAGCATTTGTTATAGAGGAAGTTAGCAAGTTTTTTCCCTTCCCTGGAATGGTTTTCCCACCATTTTAGTATTTCCTCTATCTGTCCATTCTGAAAATATAGTAGTATCTATTTTTATTGAAAGAAAATTCAGGGCCAGAGGGTTAAGTGACTTAAACCTGGCATGGAACTTGTTTTCTGACTCTTCGACTTCAGGATTTGCTTTTTCAGACTTGACAGATTGTTTCCAGAAAGGGCCAAGAGAAGTATGTGAGGTTTTTGGCTTTAGCTGCTTGGGCTTATCAACCCATGTAGGATACAATGCTGACTCATGGCTAGATTAATAATATATTGGACTTTTTTTTTTAAACTACTGTGTTCATTTCTGGGCTGTGCACAGGGATGAAGGAACATTAATAGAAAAAAGTAAAATGATTTATGTGAAGCTTCTACAACGGTGCCCTGAACTGCTTTTCCTATCACCCTCTCTGTTAAGGAATTTTCCAGTCCAGCCAAATGGAACTACTTACTAGAGCAAGGATTTCTCTCATCCCTCCTTTTCTTTCCTTCAGCCACATAATGATAACTAACATTTACTGATTATTGACTGTGTCCCACTCATTATTAGATGTTTTTGTCTGTTGTCTCATTTAATCTTCTCAACAACTTTCTGACTAAGGTACTATTGTTAGAGGACAGCCCCGATATTGAACGGGTTGCCTGGCTGTGGGTCCTCACCCGCGCGCTTACAAGGGATTTATTAATACTCCACTACAGGCACACACAAAAGGTTCATAAAAGGATTATTTACAAGGGAAAAGGAAATAAGGAAAATGTACAACTCAGGGAGAAAATAGGGAAATAGTCTTTAATGCGTCCTACCCGATCCCCCGACCTGGAAACCCAAAGGCACTCTCAGAGCTGGCCGGAGGCTGCGAGCTGGCGGAGAGCCAAAATGGGGTCCCCCCCCAAAGCCCACGTGTCTGGCTTTATACCAACCTGGCTGCTTACCCCCACCCTCAGGTCCCAGCCACCTTCCCTTTGGTGGTGATGGGAGGTGGAGTTCCCAGTGTCTTTGGCTTTGGCCTGGGGTGGGGGTGGAGTCCACAAAGCCTGTATGGAATTAGCTTTAGGACAGCCTTTTCCCCCTAACACTATCACTATCTTTACTTTCTGGAGGTGGGAAGTGTCAGGCATTACCTTTTCTAAGGTAGATAGCTTTAAATAGAGACCCAATTTCAAGCCAGAAACCTTGCTTCCACAGTAGGACTTAGCGGGTTTCCGTGCAACTTCTCCATTTTATTTTGGTTCTGTTTCCCTACTGAGCAGCATAGCCTGCCAGATTTTAAGTTCAGACAGTGATTGCCCATGTGTACATTCTCCATAGCACGATGACTTGCGTAAAGCAGTTGCTAAATTATTGACTGTGTGGATGAAATAGCAAAATGTCATCCTGAAAGATGATGTTTTCTGCCCTTATTCAGTTTCAGCTGGGTCTTGGATTAAATACCTAACAGCTGTTCAGCCTGGGTGATTATTTTAAGAATAAGCAAGAATTAGGATGGATGGAGAAAGCAGGAACTGAGTCCCCTCCCCATCTTGGAGCAGTGCTGTCTGAATGCTACTCTGTCGTCCTGACCCCCATTCCTTGGCTGCCTAATCCTAAAACAGAATCACAGATTCTCATGGTGTGAAAGGACCTTAGAGTTTATTTAGTGCAATTTCTTCATTTGAAGATGAGACAAGTCAGCAATTTGAATCTAGTTCTTCAAGCTCAGCTTAGCAGCATTCTCTACCAATCTCGACATCCATCTCAGCGTCTGTTAAGAGCACGTTTATAGCAGGCTCAGAAGGCATTGAACGCTGCATTTCTTTTGTTACTGCTGATAAAGTTGACCAAAAATCAAGTATATCTTAAGAAATCAAGAAGTCCTTAAGTCAAAAAGGAATGGTTTATGCCCCATCTTAATAATGGTTAATTAATAATGGTTTATTCCCCATCTAAGTAATTAGATTAGTGTTGCCTTTGTTTGATTATAGGAGGACTAATAAGAAAAGGCAACAATCTGTAGTCTCAGACTTTTTTTATAGTTTTGATTTCCTGTAAATCTATTTCCTCTCTCTTTTTTTAATCACCTCTCTCCTCCCTTTGCCTGTTTTTAAAAACCAGCTCAATCACTTTCAAGCATTATGAATTAAGTCAGGCTGCATGTCAGGGAGTGGACTCTTTTACTGAAACAAAAAATATAAACTCCAAACATCAGGAGGTGAAAGTTCCTAAAAGCAGGAC